TATTATTCTCCCCAAAACTCAATTGGCCATGTTAGAAAACAATAGATCAGGCAATTAATTCACTGACACATCAAGAAACAGAGCAGGAGGTTGCTTGTCAACCAGGCCACATGGCATCTAATCAGTACAGATTTTTTAAAAACCTTAGATATAAGAAAAAAGTGCTGATGGCTGGTGCTGTTGGTTATTAGCAAAGGGACCAAAATGCCAGCCTGGCAGGCTATTTTGAGGGTGGCTGATTTCCCCATTATTGTTGGTCAATAATAGCAAAACTTTGCATATTGAATTAAGGTTATATTTCCCAATGGGCTTGTCTGACCAACTTCTTTAGGATCTGCTTTCAATGCTTGCAGCTTAGAGCCAAGTGGAAAGGAAGGAGAGGGGAAATGAATTCAGAACTTATTGTTTGCCAGAAACTAGCTAAATAATTTCACATGTGTTATTGTATTTAATTCCTAATGCAATCCTGCATCGAATTTACTGTTATTGTTATTATTATTGAGAGAGGTAACTAAGGCTTAGAGAGGAAAGTCACCACTTACCCACGCTCACTCTGAATGAATGGCAGTGTGGGTTGGTTGCTGGAGGTGGGGAGCCCATTTCTAGTCCAGTCTCTATCATCAGGGGTAGTGCCACAGATTCCAACAGCAGTGCCTACTCCTGTGAGTGTAGAGTTCTGGAGCCTATTGTTTGGTTTGGATCCCAGGCTTCATTGCTGCCCAGTAGTATAAACTTAGACTAGTTTTTCAATTATTTTGTACCTCAGTTTCACTCTCTGTAAAATAATACCCATTGTACCCATTGTAAGGGTTGTGAATGTTAAATGCAATGCTCCTAGTGCACCCAATACTTGTAAACCTTCAATTATTGCCAAATTTTTAAAAAATAAAGATGAAAAAAGACTTCTTCAGAGATAAAATATGAAGCTGTTACCAATAGACATGTTCCATAAGAACTGTTCGCTATCACTCCTCAAAGACAGTATTGCCTCTTGAGATCCCAAGAAGTCAACAGCTAACCCAATACTTCTCAATCACATTCAATTTTGTTCCCCAGGGAAAAAAAAATGCTGCAAATAGAAAGGCATCTAAAGGGGAGAGGCCAGAGATATCGTTAAACATTCTATAATGCACAGGACAGCTTCCCACAGCAAATGATTATGTGGTCCCAAATGTTAATAGTCTGAGACTAAGACTCCCTGCCCTAAAATGGAACACCAATGAAGCACAGAATATTATAACTATGTGCTGAGCTGCTAAAGTGAAATTCTAATAGGAGGGGATACAGACAATAAATAAATAAATGAATAAATATAAGTAGACCATAAATGCGATGATAAAAACAAAACAGTGTAACAGGATAGAAAAAGATGGATTGGCATTGCTTTAGACTGCATGGTCAGGAAAGTCTTAGAGGAGGTGATATTTCAACTGAAACTGAAAAATAGCAAGTGATCAGCCCTTGAAGATCTGAGCAAAGAACATAGCTGGCAGAGGGGATGGTTCCTGAAGAGCTGCCAAGGTAGCGACCACATTGCTGTGAGAGAGAAATAGAAAGAATGGGAGGTTAGAAGGAATGGGAGGGAGGAAGGGGAGGGAGTCAAACTCCAATGAGTCCTCACAGAATGGCTTCCCTTGGTCAACACTACTTCTTGGTGAGCTCTCCAGAGGGAAAAAATGCCTCTGAGTCTTGATAACTAAAATATGTGATTGCTTATGTGCTGTAACTTTAAATTGGTTTTAAAGTTGGATTTTTGTTTTCATCTTTTTAAATTTTTTGTTTTTCTGCTTTAAGAAGCAATAACAGGAAGTCTCTTTCCTAGCAGTGAATTGGTTACCCAGGTCCATTATTGAATTTGGTTTGAGATAAAACCACATGGTGTTTTCCTGTTCTCTGGAATATAAAGGGTTATTCAGAGGCAGTATGAAAGCCAGGATGAAAGGATGTGGGCAGGGAAGGCAGGTGTGCTCTTGAACCCATCTAGCTTTGCCCATGGCTGCTCTGTATCACAAAGTCAGAGACTAAGTGTGTTAGTCATCTTTCCTTTACTGTAACAATATCTGAGATAATCAGATTATAAAGAGGAAAGGTTTATTTGGCTTATAGTTTTGGAGGTATCTATCCATGATTGCTTGGCCCCATTGCTTTTAGGCCTGTAGTGAGGCAGCACTTCACAGTGGGAAGTATGTGGCCAAGTAAAGCTGTTCAACCCATGGCCACGATGTGAAAAAGGAGACAGAGAAAGAAAATGGGGCCTCATAATTCCCTTCAAGGGCACATCGCCATGGACATTGAACTTCCCATTAGGCTCTATCTCCTAAAGTTTCCACCACCTCCCAGTAGCACAGATCTGGGGAGCAAGTCTTTTGACCTGGGGGCCACTTAAGATCCAAACTACAGCACTAAGGAAGAGTCAATAAAGGAGCTGATCAGCTGACTCTACTACTATTCTGGAGGATCCTTTTACATGAAAGTAAAAAGTATGGCACAATGCTTTGTCTACTTCTCAGAAAAGGCAGCAGTAGTGAGATATGTGGTAGCAGTTGTAGGATGTCCGTGCCTACATCTTCTCACGTAAGAGTGAGCTAGATTTGTAACTTACTAAACAAGTAATTAAGTACATTTCGAATGAATGTTCATTGGACTGATTGGTTTACAAAATGGGAGGATGGGGTGTTTCCATCTTTGAAGATGGGATAAACTTAACCAGGGTCCTCCAGCAGGAAAGTATATGGTGTAAACAATAGGATGCAAACCATCAAAGATCTGGATGTATCAGTTTGATCAAAAATTTTTCTTTGACTCCTCTATTTCATATAAGTATTTAAGACTATTACCAGACTCCAGTTATATACCACCACGGGATCTCTAAGCACTGGCTCTCAGTGAAGTTAGGAAAAGTGATCCTGCCTGTGATTTGGCAGGGTCGTACTGGTTCAGGACTCAAGTAAAAGCAGAAAAAATGACTAGTCATCTATATGACATCATCTTCCCCTCCTCTTAAATTTTTTTTTTTTTTGAGGCAACAATATACACTCAGCTAAAAAACTATTTCCTAGTCTCACCAAAATTATGTATAGCCATATGACTAATTCCTCATCAGTGAAATTAAGTGTATTCTGGTGGGGGGATAGCATCTTAAAAGATAGCCAAGATATATACCCTTTTCCCATTCTTTCCTTTCCTCCGTTTTACTACCTAGAACATGGATATGATGATTGAAGCTCCATCATTCATTTTGTACTGAGGTCAAAGGTCATAACCTAAGGAGGACAGTTGTAACTAGAGGAGCCTGGATCCCTGAATACTATGTAGAATTGGCATAACAGCCCAAAGAAGCTTATCTCTGGACTTTTATTAGTGCAAGAGAAATCACCTTTTTTATTTATTTTTTTATTTAAATAAATTTATTTATTTAAATCACCATTTTTAAAAATTTTTGTTTCATAGTCAGAACTAAGCCTTAAATGATACACCAACCATTTGCATAACTGTTCATATCATGAGATTAAGTGACAAGATCAAGCATTCATATGTCTAAGTTTCTTAAAATCATTATTTTGAACCAATGAACAATATAATCAAATCAACCATACATAAGGTCTTAGTTGACCAATTGTGATGTCATTTGGTGCCCCCATTAACCTAAGGGGTATAATGTACCTTGGCAGAATTCATCAAATGAAAAAAAAATGGAATTCAAGTGCCCTATAGTCCTTTTCATTTCAAACTGGTTTGACATGTGTGATCACTGACATACAGAAAGAATGACCATCATCCTCAGGGTCCTGGAACACAGTATTTACTAATTCTCAGCTAAAAACATATAACCAAATATCTAGAAATTCCCTTTTCTTCTGAGCCTCCTGCTATATCTAATAGAGTAGTATGTGATTACTGGCTTCTAAAGTAGCCATTCCTAAGGTTAAACAAGAGAAACAATTATTGTTTGTATGTGGTAATTATCATCGCTCCTCATCAAATACTTCAGACTCCACCTTCCAGGAACACGGTGCAATTGTACTTTCTGGATCCCTGTGGTGGAGTATGGCCATGTTTTGGCTATGGAACTGTATTACTTCCAAGTTCCACATTTAATTGCTCATGCAAGATCCTTTAGAATTATATTTTTTGCCACAGTATCAGGTAATAGCTTCCCATCAGCCTGTATCCAGAGAGAATGTTTAGCTACCGTATCTCTTACTGGACATGTAATTTGAACAAGAAATTTAACAAAATTTTTGCTTTTTTCAATATATTGAGATTTAGAGGTTGTTTGTTACTGCAGCATTCTATATTATTCTGATTGATGATCATATGATTTAAAAGAAGCATTCAGAGGATGGGAGGAATCACAGACACACTGAATGGTATAATCTATGGTTCCAGCAATCAAAGAGATGTGGGTACATCTCCTTCACTTTGCTCCATCCATGTCAATCTTTTAACATCAACAAATTATATTTGTAAAACCTTTTTGTGTGGAGCAATTTCTCACTACATATCTATCTACAAAAATTTGTCAGTAAGCAAAGCAATCTTCCCACTCCTCAGTGGCTTCAGATCTTTTCAAACCTCCTGCCAATACTGACATTTAGATTCCATACACAATTAGCTCCACCATGTGGTATTTAGAATAAATGACATTTATATAGGATTATAAAAGCAAGGTCACATATCCAATACCATATACTCCTTGAGAGAGGGAGTGTACATAATAAAAATGACAAACAGCTTGCTAGGGCATCAAATCAAAAGCGAAAGAAAATGTTCCTTTCATGCAAACTAGAAAGTTCAGTAAAAGTAAGGCATGCTCATTTATTCATTCAACTAGCATTTACTGAGCTCTATTATGTGTCCAATATTGTTTTAGGCACTGGGAATATAGCAAGAACAAGACAGAAAAAGTTCCTGCCTTAATTTAAAAGACATACAAATAAATAAATACTGCAATGTCACTTGGTGACATAAATGCAATAAGCAAACAAAAGAACAGGGAGTAATGGGAAAGGGATTATTTATTTCAGAAATAAAGACAAACAGACCACATTTCACATTCCCAGAATTTTTTTAGATAACTGATTCCAATATCAAATAGACATAAGCATGAATATTCCCTTTCATACTTAGAATATGAATACTCCTCAAGATGAACAAATCTTGATTTTGAACCTTCACCATACTCAACACATTCAAGAAACCATCACTCCTTGGAGAAATAGATGAGAAATATTCTAGGATATGTTTTTATGCCAGAAAAGACAGTACTTAAAGATTAACATCAGGTCACAGGAGTCTTCAATCTGCTGTGAGGACAGGTTACAGGGGCTCCCACTGTCAAAACTGGAAAATATTTAAGCACCAGCACAAATAACTGTAACTGATATTATGTCAAATGAATAAAAGTTCACAAATTTGTAGTGATACTTAAGAAAAAGAGTAGGGCTCTGTTTTATAGAAGAAGGTCAATAGAAGGTGGCACAGAATAAAAGAATCATAATTTTACAATGTATATTGTAACACTGATTCATACAAGGATGAATTGACATCTTGTATGTCAATTTCTTTTTGCTGATGTTGCAAACTTAATGGCTGACCACACATAGATTTATTATTTTGCAGTTCTGGAGACCAGAAGTCCAAAATGGATGAACATGCCTACATTTTTTTAAGTGACTCTAGGGAAAATCTGTTTCTCATCTTTTTTAGTTTCTACATCTGTCCACATTCTTCAATCTCATAGCCCCATGTCCTTCCAACCTCTACTTTCATCATGACGTGTACTTCTAACTCTGACCTTCCTGTTCCTTATGAGGACACTTGTGTTCACGTTGTGCCTACCCAAATAATCCAGAATAACCTCCCGATCACAGGATTATTAATTGAATCATACCTGCAAAGTCCTGTTTTTCCATTTAAGACTACATATTCACAGTTTCAGTGATTAGGATGTGGAATGGGGTGTGGGTCCTTCAGCCTACCATACTTTGCAAAAAGTTGCTTCTAAGCAGAATATTGATGTTATCTGTTTTAGTAGTTAATTTTTGTGTCACTGTGACCAAAATACCCAGCAAAAATAACTTAAGAGAAGGAAAAGTTTATTTTGGCTCATGATATAAGAAGTCTCAGTCTATAGATGGCAGGCTCCATTGATCTGGACCAAGATGACGCAGCACATCTTGGCAGAAGGGCATGGTGGAGGGAAGCTGCCAGGAAGTAGAGATAGAGAGACGAGGGGGAAAGGGCCACCAGGAAGATGCACCCTTCCAGGGCATATCCCCAGGAATCCACTTCTAGTCATGACTACCTGTCCAGTTAACACCCAGTCATTCCATTCAATCTAGGATTGACTGATTACAACTCTGTATAATCTAATATCTAATTATTTTACCTCTGAATATTCCTGCATTAGTAGGAGCTTTTGGAGGAAACTTCATATCCAAACCATAACAGAGCATCACCTCACAGATTACTTATTAATGACTTTTATAACTAAGTGTTCTCATTATCATCATCTTAAACCATGGGACAATGAGAAATTATATACCAACTAATGTTATATAATTTAAAGTACACAAATAATTTATAAGATAATCTTACCAAAAAATTTTAATCTGTATTTAAATAAGCTTTAGCTCTAACTTACAGCATAAAGAAATGATGCCACAATAAAATAATCAAACACATTCAGGAAATGAAACTTATTGTATGTCTACTACTCTATACTCCTCAAAATTGCAATGTCATAAAAAAGGATGGGAGACATTCTAAATTTTTAAAAAGGATGGAAAAGACATAATAAACAAATGCAATATGTAAACTTAAAATGGATATTGATACTTAACAATAATTTTAAAGACAATCAGTGGAACTTTAAATATAGTTTAAAAATTAGATCACATTATGGAATACATTAATAACAGCTTCTTATGAATTTATAGATGATGTCCTTATTTTTTAGAAACACACAATTGTCCCATAGTTTAAAATGATGATAATGAGAACATTTAGTTATTCTTATCATCATTTTATAATATTTAGTTATAATTAAACTGAGGTATATGATGAGACTCTATGAAGTCAAGCAAAAAGAGAAATCCTATAATTTGGGGAATTAATCTGAGTTCCCTCTAGCCAGCAGAGAGTCTTATCCTATTTGACCCATTTTGGACTTCTGGTCTCCAGAACTGAAAAATAATAAATCAATGTTATGGTACACCACTTTGTAGTAGCTTGTTACATCAACAACAAGAAATTAATACACACGACGATCCTTGTATGGATCAGTGTTACATTATAGTTTACAAAATCATGATTCTTTATCACCTTCTATTGGCATTCTTCTATAAAACAGAGCCCCAAACCTTTATTTTTCTTAAAAATCACTACACATTCATGAATTTTATTCATTTGATACACTATCAGTTACAGTTATGAACATGCTCCTCTTTAAAATGGAACAGAACTCTATTACATAGATTAAAAGCTACTGTAAGTAGACCCGAGCAAAGCTTAACAAAATCCTCAAAATGATCAAATTGAGCCATAAATAACCCTAGTCAATGTAACTTGAAGCAAAAAAAAAAAAAAAAAAAAAAAAAGAAGAAGAAGAAGAAGAAGAATAAAGAAAGAAAACTGTCAAATCAAACTCTGCCCAAATTTCCAATTCATGAGTAAAATGATTGCCATCTACTAAATTTTGTTACATAACAGGAAATAACTGGAATAATTTTGTACATGCCAGATGTGATAAATGCTTGACTTTTAATCCTTATCAATTTTTATAATAATGAAATGAGTCAGTGCCCTAATGACTTCCAAAGGTATCCCAAAACGTTTTTGTTTGGAATTACATTCGGAACTAACGGCTTTTCAAAACATGTGATGTATTTCAGCCCATAGAGCCATTATTCTTATTGATGTTCACATTGGCTGTCCTTGCCCAATGGAAGCCCTTTCAAGTTGGCCACTGTGTCCTTTCAACATTATTTTTGTTATCTTTGATCATTTCCCTGCTTTCTTGCCCAAGAATATCTCATTTTTTTTGTTGTTGTTGTTCAAACCTGGAATTGATCCCAAAGACTGCTTTCTTTTACTAAGAAACCACATACAAAGACCATCATCTATCTGGACATTAGATATCCACCCACCCCCAGCAGAAATATAATTTACAAACAAACATGTGCATTGATTATAAATCACACATTCCTCATCCATTTTTAAATCTCTGAATTAGAAATGTATATTCAAATTGATGTCATGTTGCAATTTTTAGTAATATGTACCTTATCTATTATCTACTTCATTTAAGATATCTTTCATCTAAGATTAACTGAAATAATATGAAGATTAGGCCTAAGATTAGATGGAATCTAGATTAGCTTTTTATACTTTATAAAAATAAACATTTCATCTTATTTTCCTACAACTTATTTTTCTTGCTATACATTTTATTTAGGAATAATTTGCATAAAACACATAAAATGATTAACATATCAGAATGCTCCCACTTTAGGTCCACAGTTTGATGAGTCACAACTTCATAGAGCCGTGTAACCACACTACAATCAAGATACATGCAATTACCATCACCCCCCAAAATCTCTCTTGTACACATTAGCAAATCAAACTGATCTATCTCACAACCATCTCTCCCACCCAGCCTCAACCCTAGGCAATTATTTGTCATACAAACTAGTTTTACCTTTTCTAAAATTTCACAGGAATAAAATTATGCAACAAGTATAATATGTACTCTTTTATGTCTGGCTTCCTGCACTCACTTGTATATCCTTTCATCTACTGAAGATTTGGGGTCTTTCCAGTTTGGAATCATTAAGCAAAAAGCTGCTATAAACATTCATATACGTTTTTATGTGTATGTTATGTTTTCATTTCTTTTGGGTAAATATCTGGGAATAGAATTGCTGGATCCTATGGTAAATGTATATTTAACTTTATAAGAAACTGCCAAACTATCTTCCAAAGTGGCTCTCACCACTTTGCATTCCTACCAGCAATATGTGAGGAATTCCAGGTGCTCCATGTCATCACCAATACTTGGTATTGGCAGTAGCAATGATTAGTATGTGGTTTGAATGTGTCTTGGTGCTTCATGTGTTGAAATCTAATCCCCATTGTGGGGTATTAAGAGGGTGGGCTTAATCTACTGTATTTGGAGATGGGGTCTTGCATAAGGTCATAGGGTATTAACTACCATGACTGAATTCAAGTGGTTTTATCAGGAGAGAGGACAGGCTGGGTGCAGTTGCACATGTCTGTAATCCCAGTGGCTTATTAGGCTGAGGCAGGAAGGTTACAAGTTTAAAGCCAGCCTCAGTAACTTTGTGAGAGCCTGCCTCAAAATAAAAAAAATTTAAAAGCTGGGAGCATGACTGTGAATATAGCTCAGCAATATAGTATCCCTGGGCTGGGCTTGATTTCTAGTACCTAATAATAATAATAATAATAATAATATAAAGTGAGAGAGCAGGGGGAGGGGACAGGCACATGGGTGTTTCCTATACCTAGCCAAGTAAGGTCCTACAAGAAAACTATCATTGAATGCAGCTCCTCTACCTTGGACCTCCAGAACCAAACCAAAATAAACCTCTTTTCTTAATAATTCACCCAGTCTGTGGTTATGTCATAGGAAACAGAAAAAAAGATTAATGCAAGCAATTTATGCCTTTTTGGTGGATTTATAGCAGTTTCTTGTGTTTTGCTTTCCTAATGTCTAAGGATGTTTAGCATTCTTGTCAACTTGAGTATCTTTTATAAAGACTCTATACAAAGCCGGGCATGGTGGTACATGTCTGTAGCTACTCAGGAATCTGAGGCAGGATTCCAAGTACAAGACCAGCCTGGGCTATGTAGCAGGACCCTGTTCCAAAATAAAATAGAAAGGGCTGGAATGTAGCTCAGTGGTGAAGCACCCCTGGGTTCAATCACCAGTTCTGCAGTGGTGGAGAAATTTATTCAAATCTTTTGCCCAATATTTATTGGGCTACTTGATTTTTCATCATTGAGCTCTAAGCATTATTCATATATTCTAGATATGTCCTTGGTCAGATGTATATATTAGAAAGTTTCTCCTAATCTGTGAATTGCTTTTTGATTCTTGAACGAGTGTCTTTCAGAGCAGTTTTAATTTTAATAAATTTCATTTTGAAAATTTCTTTCATGGTTTATATTATGATCTAAGAAATTTCGCCTATTCCAAGAGAGCAAAGAATTTTTCCTTCTTCTTTTTAGAATTTCTAGTTTGGGCTTTTGTTTAGGTCTATGATTCATTTGAAATCTAGTTTTACACTAAAATTGTATACAAAATGGAGCAAGAATTGAGGTTCACTTCCTACGTGAACAAATGGTAATTCTGTTTGTTGAAAAGACCATCTTTTGTTTATGAATTACTTTGGCATTTTTATCAAAAACCAATTGTCCATATATACACAGGTCAATTTCTGAACTCCATATTGTCCATGGGTCCTTAAGAATTCTTATGGAATGTATCTATTGCTAACAAATTCTCTCACGTTTTCTTTCTGAAAAATCTTATCTTTAATTGTGAAGAATATTTTTGCTAAACACAGAATTCTGGGACAGCAGGAGTTTTTGTTTTTCTCTCAGCACTTATTACATGGAGGTCTCTCACTTGGAGGAATATGTAGACATTCTTATCTTGATTCCTCTGTATGAAATGTCTTTTCCCCCTGCCTTTCCATCTGCTTTTACAATTTTGTTTTGCTTGCTTTCAATAATTTCATTTTGATGTACTTGATGAGGTTTCTTTGTTTTAAGTCTTAGTTTGCTTGTTGAATTTCTTAACTCTGGGCTTATAGTTTTTATCAATTAGGGAAAATTTCAGTCATTTTTGTCTCCCTACTCCAACTTCCAGGACTCCAAATACAAGAATGCTAGACCAACAACAGGTGGCTGAGGCATTGTTCTATTTTTTCTTTTCTTTTTTTTCCTCAAAGTGCCTTGGTATGCTTCAAGTACCCTACTTCAGTTCTGAAACGGACAATTTGCTATAAATCCATTCATCCTTCCTATCTAGCTAGAGACCAGAAAGTAACAAATACTAGCAGTGCTTTTAAAAAATAAATTTTACATACTGTTGGATTAATGGTATAAATGTGTTGGCCATAATAGCTTATTTAAGGACTCTTAATTTAGAAATTGCTAAGTAGTTTTTTTTTTAGTAACTTATCATGTCTATTAGTTTGTAGAGATATAGAGTCAGAAATGATATTAAATTTGACACTAATAATGTGTTGTGATTTTTTTCACTTTGACCTCTTTTGAAGAAGGTGATAACAATCTGTGGAAAATGCTTTATTGTATCATGTCAATATACTGCAAGGAGTATTTCAAAATAATACAAAAGTAATCCACACACTTGATTAAGTGAAGATCAGATCCAAATTTTTTCTTCCTTAGTTCTTTATAGCAGTTGCTAAAAGTCCATAAGCTGATTTTTTCCAAGAAAGATTATTCTAGTAACTTTGAGTGTTCAATCCGTGCAATGGTCCAGTCAGGCTTTACTCCTTGTGTAAACTCCCTCTGAAATCTAAGAAAAACATTACAAATGTCAACCTTGCATCAGTCCAAATATTTCTTGGATAATATATAAATTGCAAGTGTGTACTAAAGGCAGTTTTTAACAGTAAGCTAATTTAATAGTGGTAAATCAAAAATCAAAACAAAAAAGTTTAATCTGCCAATTCAATCATAAAAATATACTGGCCAAATTGCAGTACATTCTCAACTGAAGTGAATATTTTTGATGTTCAACATCTGCTAGCCCCTGAAAGAAACCTGGATATAATTCTGTTACTAAATACTAGTTAAATCCTGTCTAATATAAGCAGAAATATACTGGATTCTGGTGAGGCAAATAGCATTTTAAACATAAGATCTAGTAAACAGGAAAAGCTATTCTTCAAATAACTGTTACCAATTTAGTAATAAGCAGTGGAATTTACTTAGCGACATTAAATCAATCTTAAAAATAGCAGAAGAGACAAGATTTAGTATTGATAGTGATCTTTAATTATAAAAATGTCTTTAAAAAGAGATAATCAGGGCTGGGGTTGTGGCTCAGAGGCAGAGCGCTTGCCAAGCATGTGTGAGGCACTGGGTTCAATCCTCAGCACAACATAAAGTAAAAAAAAAAAGACATTGTGTCCACCTATAACTAAAGAAATAATTAAAAAAAAGAGATAAACAAAAATTTACATGAAATAAGTATTTAAATATAGAAAATATTTTTAGTAATTATATATAAAGCAAGTTTTTTTTTTTTTTTTTTTTAAACATACTTCTTTTGGGCTGGGGTTGTGGCTCAGTGGTAGAGTGCTCGCCTAGCACGCGCAAAGCCCTGGGTTCAATCGTCAGCACCACATACAATAAAAAAAGTATTGTGTCCAACTACAACTAAAAAAAAAAAAAATAAATATTAAAAAAATACTTCTTTTAAGAAAAATAAAACAAATGAGAATATAATTCTCTTTTACCTTAGTGAAACAAAACATTTTCTTTCTTAGGTTACTTTTGGAATATGTTATTTTAAAGCAAATTTGTATAACTTTGGCAATATACTAATAGTATCCTCTTTAAAAATTAAAGAGACATATTAAATTATGTTTCCGGACTTGACCCAGTTGTTCAGTTTCAAATTTTATCAGCACAAACATATAATACTTCTTTTAAATAAGTTGCTAACTTTCTACAAGTATCTCTTTAAAGGCAATGTCCCTTCAGTTTTGCATTTAAACCCCTACCACAAGATCTGGCACATAAATGATCAATAAACAATGAATGTTCCACATAACAATTATGACAGATTTTATTTTCTGAAGATGACTGCAACCACATCTCCCTCCCAGGTGTATTCAGCAATGTGACACTGATGACTGTTGTTCCATAAAGTGGTGGCTTGCTTCATACCCTTTAAATTGTGCAGGTCATGTGACTGCTTTTATTAGGAGACTGGCAGAAATGATGTTATTTTAATTCTGGGTATATCCCTTTGCTAGCCTAGCAGTTTCCATTTTCTTTCTTTTAGAATATAATTATCAGGTAAAAGATATGACTAGCTTGAAACTACCATAAGCCCAAGCCATGAAGAGAGGTACTGGAGAGTGGTGTACTGTAGAGAAGCCAAGGGGTACCAAGGTGCCACATGTGAGAGAAGTCATTGTGGAAATAAATCCTCCTGCCTCTGCCACCCCAGATGATGTCAAGTGAAGCAGAGAAAACCCCACACCTGAGCCTTTGTATAGTTTCTGAGTAGTGAACTAGAAGGCGAAATCAATGGCTGTTTGAAGCCACTGACTTTTGGGAGTGGTTTGTTACTCAGTAAAAGATAGCTGAAATACCCTCTGATAAAATTCAGCAATATTACCTCTTTCTAATTTCTTTACACTCCTAGTTCATATTCAGTGTCTTTATGACCTTTTTTCTTCATAAATAACGTATTAAATTTTAATCCTTTTCTTCCTAAAGCTATCTGTAGTTTTCATACCTTCATATGGCCTTCCATTTTCTAGAGAAAGGAAACACCAAAGCACGATTGCACTTACTCATAGCTTGCACTAAGAAGCTGTTTAGTTTCCACGTTCTGATCCCCCAATTTAACCTGGAATACACTGGCTCCACTCAAAGTTTCACTGGGGATGGTGGCACTGGTTAGATACCAAAAGCACATCAGGATGTTAACGAACTTCCTTCCTTAGAGAAAAAAACAAACACACACACACATACACAAATACAAATCACAATAATCTATCATCCATATAGCCAGACTAAAATCAGAAATTGGCAGTAGTTATATAGCTATTATAGATCAAAGTTTATACAAATTCTGGTATACTGTTAAGATACCTAGATTGATACTTTATTTGTTTATTTATTTTAAAATATTTTTTTTAGCTGCTGATAGACCTTTATTTATTTATTTTTAATGTCATGCTGAGGATTGACCCCAGTGCTTCACACATGGTAGGCAAGAGCTCTACCACTTAGCCACAACTCCAGCCCTGATACTTTATTTTTAGAAAATTTTCTTTGGGCTTGTGATATATTTGTCCTCATCTCTGCATCTCAGTAATAAAGCTACTGTTTATCAACATATACTTTATTAAGCACACTACATGGAATATTCCCAATTTATAGCATTTTTAAAAATTATAACAATTTACAGCAGGTATCTGTTGTCAAGACAAAAACAAACAGGAAAAATCACTTTTTTTCTTTTGTTTTTTTTTTGCTGCTATGTAATTAACTTATGCTCAATTGCCCAAAAGAAAAAAGGCTTCTATTCCACCCTGATTTACTCTGCTTTGTCAGGCAATTCTGACAATATCCTATGTAAAAAATCAGTAACCACAGTGCCAGGATGAAATATGAAATATTAGGGTTGAATAAAATACTTTTATCACCAAAAATACTTTTACAAATGTTTCAAATTAATATGTGCACTAAAAATTTCCAACCATTGAGTCCTCTATCATACTGCCTTGGGAATATGAAAGCAGAGGCTAGATTTCTGATGTCTCTGGCACATACTACGTATGCAAATCTGTGTAGAAGGAATCAATGAATTCTCAGGAATGCTATAGGGAAAGTGTACTCAATGGACAAGGAAAAGAACTGATAACCACTAAGGTTCCTTTCAACTTTTTTCATTATCCCTAAATCCAATCTGGGAGTTCTATAGTTAACATTTTTTTTTTCCATATTATATCAGTCTTGAGCTGATAGTATCTACTTTTTCTTTTACTCTTTACTCCTTCCATATAATGTGTAGCTGTAAATTTAAAATGCTCAATTGTTCCTTCAAGTTAGGAGATCTGAAACAAATATTTCCGATCTGCACCATGGAAGCAGCTTGTCCTAAACAGACAATTTCCAAAGCATGTGATGATGTTCTCTCTTGTGTATTACACAGCAGTAGGGAAAATACCTACATAGAAAGGCATTAAAACCATTAGCATAGCTCAACTTTTTTAGAGCTAGGTCTTAAAGAGTGAATATATCATTTCTTTTGAAGTTCTAAAAATATCTGCTTGTACAGCAAAATTACTATTTTTGTGATTATTCACTACTTAAGCTCATCTGAACAATTGGGGATCATTTAAGATGGACTACTCCAGCATTACCTTTCTCATCATAGTAAATGGAGATGTCTCCAGTTGATGTATAGACAATTTCATCTATGTCAGCAGCAAGAGCATTTTTATGGTTATCAGGTAGTGAAGAAACCTTTTCTTTTAATACATGAAGCACCTAAGTTTGGGAAAAACAAACCATTAGTATACCAATTCAATTTTTGAAAATATTTCAAAATATGACCTTTATTATAGAATAAACTTTTCTAAATCTGCTTTTAAATTTACTATTATATCTACTGATCCTCAAAGGCAACACTGAAAGGCATCTAAATATTCAACTAGGTAATTCCTACTAGAACATTACACATAACAGCAACTTAAAGACATAACATTTACTTATTTATGCCTCAAGTAGGTGCAACCATTCCAGCTTTTATATGACCCAAAATACTCATAAGGAGTATGAGACAATTTCAGATTCTACTTTGGTTGATGGTACATGCACTATTTTTTTTTTTAATTTTATTTTTTTTCAGTTTTCGGTGGACACAACATCTTTATTTATTTATTTTTTTATGTGGTGCTGAGGATCAAACCCAGCACCCCACGCATGCCAGGCAAGCACGCTACCACTTGAGCCACATCCCCAACCCCTACATGCACTATTTTTAACTATAAGTTAAGAGTGTGTATCATTATATTGCAAGAGTCATATATTTATTTTTAAATAAAAATTAAAAGTTTATTTTACCTCTTTGGCCACAAGTTCTTCCAATAGATCAAATTTACACTGTGACAACAACTTGGATACATGAGCAAAAGCCTTGAAAAAAAAATAGGAGGGGAGAGTGACAATTATTATTTCAAAATGCCATACAATGTTCATATCTAAATGGCTAATAATAACAAAGGGTATTTTATGGTAAAGGTGATAAATAATGTCAAATACTAATGGATCAATGTTAGGCATGACTTCTTTAAAGTTAGCTGACTGTTTTTATAGTCTCAGAACCTGGAAGATGATAGCATGTGGTGGTGTTCACACTAGATACTTCAATAAAAATACTCCATATATATTTTCTTTTAAAATAATGATAAAGTAAACAACCATTTGACTAATATATAACCCACCTCTTAATCACATAGGTAGCAGTTAGAAAGCATGAAACTCTAAACTGTACTGGGAATCTAGAAATCTGGATTGCAGTCTGAACCTCATTGAGAAAGATAAGGTATGTTTACGAAAGTAGAAAGAGAAAAAGTTTACAGTTGATAGCTCCTAACTTTGAAAGAGGAGGTCTCATTTTAAAGGTAGCGGGGAGTGAATGCAATTCTCCACATTCCTAACAATGAGAAATGCAACAGTAAATTATGACCCTCTGAGCTGGAGTTGTAGCTTAGTGGTAGAATACTTGCCTACCATGTGTGAGGCACTGGGTTCCACTCTCAGCACTGCATATAAATAAATAAAATAAAGGTTTATCAACAACTAAAAATATATATTAATTTAAAAAAAAAAGACCCTCCTTGTCTTCCAGAATCTTTCAGTCTACCTAGGGTGCAAGACATGTTAACTGACAAGTTCAAGAATTATGACAGAACTAAGAACAAGATGATGATTTAAGAGGATTCAAAAGAGCCACCTAACCTAACCTGGAAGGACCAGAAAGGGCTTCCTAAAAGAAGCAATGTCTCCACTGAAATCTGAAAAACTGGCAGAAAGAGATGCATAAACACATCAGACAGAGGATATGGCCTAATTGTTATGGGCTGAAATGTGTCCCTTTCATTCTTTTGTTGAAATCCTAATCCCCTGTATTTGGACATAAGGCCTTTAGAGAAGTGATTAAGTTAAAATGAGGCTGTTAGGGTGGGTTCTAAATCCAATTTGTCTGGTGTTCTTATGAGAGGGGGTAATGAAGACACACAACAGAGATCCAGGGACACAAACATGCAGAAGAAAGACCATGCAAGAATAGAGCAAGAACAAAAGCCAGCTGCAAGACAAGGCAAGAGGCTCAGGAAAAACCAACCTTTCTGATACCTTGATACTGAAATTCTATTGTTGAAGCTGCCCAGTCCATGCTACTCTGCTATAATAGCCCTAGCAAATTAATATAATAGTGGAGTTGCACTTTGAGAAAATGAACTCATCCAGATTAATCCATGGATTCTTTGCAAACATCCTGGAGGCATTCAGAATTCAGAGATACTGCATGTTCTGGTAAGCTTTCATGTGAAAGATGGGTGATAATTTAGGCAAAAGAAGCAAAGACCATAATCATTTTTGTTGAAACCCAACCATTAGAGTCTAATTTGTATAGCCAAGGAAGATCACACCTGAGCAAATTATTCTAAAAAGAAACAGTGAATCATTAAGAAGCTGCCCTGCTAAAGTTCTGGTAACTTACTAGCATTCAACCTCTAGAGGCTTCTAGGAAATTGTCTTCTTTTTCTTAAGAAAGGCTAAAATGTACACAATATAAAAAACAGTATATGGTTTGATAGCAATGATAGGGAAGATATCACGTCATGTGGAATGGCAAGCAGGGTCTGTGAAGCTAACATAAGGCTGGCAGAACACTGGGCCATCAATTCCTCAATGCTAGCCTAGATGATATGTAACCATCTCAGATGCCAGTGATGCTGGAGGAATAAGATTGCTTGTACAGTGCAACACAGGCTTTGTACTTACTAGCTCCACATCCTTGAGATATCTTTTCAGCTTTCTGGAAATGTTTCAGCATATGTAAAGGAAGATTAGACTAGAAGAGGTATCTTTTCAATTTCATGATGTATGATTAAAAAATAAAAATCTTATTGAATATGATCTGACAGTCAAAATCCAACAACATCTAACTTCTGGAAGATTAAACTAAGGAAAAAGAGAAAGACAATGCAGGTAGAGAAACTAGCTGATTTTACATCAAAGTATTCCCAAGCACTAGAATTATACCCACACACCAGAGGTATAATTGCATTATGACAGTTAGTTACAGAGAAGGGGTTTTGGTCATGTTCTTTTATAAAACCATAGAAATTATCTTGGGTGTTGAAGAACTGATTTTCTTGGTCCGAAACACAGGTTTAAGAGACAATATGCTGACACCAGACAGTCTTTTTGAAAATCAGAATAGTTGTCAACAACAAATTGACTTAGATTAAAAAAAAAAAAAAGTACACAAAGACTGGATGATGGAATAGAAATAGTTTAATCTCAAGGAGAGAGGCTAAAAAAGTTAACAGACAAGGTTAGTGTGATCCAAAAAGTACTCCAATCTCTATGTATTCAGAGAAACAGGGGCTAAGGCCTGATTCCTGCTCAAGGTGGGGAGATGATTTGCATTCCTTACCAACACATAAATGAGCTGGTACAATCACATCTGTTAAGGTGGACAAACTCATGTCATTAGCAGGCACTGTAGAAAATAGCAGGATCACACCAACAACTGACCTTGAGACCCGACATGAGCAGAGACTTAACACTTTATCATGATGCTGAGTAGACATATTAATCAAACTGTGCTTTGGTTTATTTTTTATAAACATATAATAGTCAAGAGTTGACTCAGGGACACAGGAAACAGGAGTTACTACTAGCGCTGATTACATAAAGTTAAAAATATTTATTAAAGGTGACATAACTAAATGGCTGAGATTATAAAAATAATTGGAAATAAATTAGGAGTAAAAAATATCAATACTGTAAAATGATCATACTGATGGTATGATTATAAGCTTTATGTAGGTATTAAATGGAAAATAAACTGACTTGTTTATCAATAGTTACATGATGTTTGGGAATGACAAACTAAGAGAATCTATTAAGATTGAGATGGCCTTTGATCCTACAAAAATGCATGTACACACAAAATCTGCAAATAATCTCAGGGTTCAAAGTGACCATTATGTGGCAAGTGTCAGGCAAGGTATTATCAGTCACTCAGAAAGAGGGCCATAACAAAGTCAGGGGGCTATGAATCACTAAAAGCTAAATATTCCTGGTGTGCTGGGTACTGTGCACTTATCAGAGCCCAGATAGTTTCAGCAAACTGTTTGAAAGGGTAAAACTACTCATCCCCAGGTTATCCTCTAAGCAGTTGTGGAGGCGGTGGGGGGTCCTGTCAAAAAGTTTTAGGAAGGGCTGGGGATGTGGCTCAAGGGGTTGCGCCCTGGCCTGGGATGCACGGGGCGCTGGGTTCGATTCTCAGCACCACATAAAATATAAAATAACGATGTTGTGTCCACTGAAAACTAAAAAAATAAATATTAAAAAACTCTCTCTCTCTCTTTAAAAGAAGAAAAAAAAAGTTAGTAAGTTTTGACTTTCTAACCGAAATGATATTCTAGTAGTTTGAAAGTGTTATCTCATTCCCCACCATAATCTCTTCCACTCAATTTATTCTGTAACTATTTCGGGAGTGTCTACTATGTGTCTTTTCCATTTTGCAAATTTGGAAAATCATGCCCCGAAAAAGACCGAATAGCTTTGAAGTGGCAGGAATGGGTCTCAAATCCATTTGTCTGATGTAAAACCTGTAGAGTGAAAAAGACCACTGGGGGACTTCACCTTAGCATGTTATTGGGACACCTCCTCTGCGACCATGCAAACACACCCAGGTGTCCGAAGGGCTTGGTGTCTGTGTCACCACCAACGTTTGATTAATTTGACTTTGAGTGAGGTGACCCCAATCAAAACACTTCTGTGTGTAACAGCTGAATGCGTGAGAGGAGAACAGTCACCTAGGGAAACAAACCTGCTTCGCCCCCTCAGAGAATTCTGCGATGCTGAACTCCTTGTCGAAATAGGCCCAGATAAGGAATGCATAAATTCGAGTCCGAACCCAGTTGATGGGGTTGGAGAATCCCAGAATTATCATCTTGGTTTTCTGGCGTTGCTGGGGCTGCTCCTCCGTGCTGTAGTCGCGCCGAGAGCAAACAGGGTAAGCAGCGAGGGCTGCGGGGAGTCTCGGGGAGCTGAGCAGGGGTCGCCGGCGGCCCCGAGAAGGCAGCACCAGGGCCTCCAAGTTGCAAGTGCTGCGAGGAAACGGCGCCACTCCGGAGCCAAGGCGGCGGCTGCAGAAGTAACAAAACCCGGCCAACCGCAGCCTCACTTCGGCCACACCGGGTGCCCGGAGTCGGATAAGCCCGCAGGGAAAGGACCCAGAAAACAGCGGACTGAGTAGCAGACGGGAAGCAAGCGCCATATTTATGACCTTTCACCCCTCTGCTTGCCTGTGCCCGCTGAAAGGAAGCCGATGGGAAGCCACCTAGCAGTTTCCAAGCAAGGGACTGGAGAGCAAAGCTGGCCTGTTGCTGCCACCTCTGGTGAATCCGTCCATCGCCGCTCTCTAGCACACCGGCCCTTCCGGCTTCCCTCCTGGCGCTCAGACAGCTGTCCTCTGGAGTCCGCCGGACTCGCGGACCTTTTCTCCTCAAGTCTTGTTTCCGAGCGGATCACACGCTGACGTACGCTTTGGAGCCAAAGTTCCGAGGCCTTCGAAGAAGGGAACGTGAGCAACCATGACCGGGCAGCGCATCCCGGTACCTCGGCTCGAGGGCGTTACGCGGGAGCAGTTCATGCAACATTTCTACCCACAGGTGAGGCCCTCGTGCGGGGCACATCCTCGGGAAGCCAGGAGATACACGTCCGTACTATACCGGCTCCCAACTGGTTTCTTGTGGCTCAGGGTGTGGGGAAAAGGCAGCAGGCTGCAGCGATGACAAGGTCGGCTCCTCAGCCAAAAGAGAGGGCGCTTGGGGCATGTCGACTGGTTCATTTGTTTAAAATACCGGAGAAAACAACCAACTCATGGTTTCTGCGGAGCGCGCTGACTCCTGGATGGAGAATCATTTTGCCTAACTTCCTTACTCGCTGCGAAAAGCGGCTTCATACAGAGCTCTGTTGAGAAGACGTCTCCCATTACCGTGGCCGTGGGTGCTCATCTTCTGCCGGGTTTTCTAAAGTTTAGGGCAGAATTTGCGGCTTCCCTGTTGGTGCGAACGGCACCTGTCAATCACTCCAAGGAGACATCAGGGGAAGCAATAGAAATCTCCAGAAAAAAATTTCCACTGGTCTTGGATTTTAACTAACCTGGATTGTATTCCAGACGTTGGAATCCCTCATTTCTTTAAAAGAAAACTCAGAGAAATATTAAGGCGAAAAAAAATATTTTTACTTGAATTGAATTGTACGAAGAGTCTAGACTTAAAGAATTTAGGAACCCAGCAGGTATTTTAATAATAATAATAATAATGAAGAAACGTTACAAAAGTGTGTCTAAGGTACCACAAGACAAAACAATAATAACAAAGATCTCCTAGCAATTTTCCTGGATACTTACATCTGTTAGGGCGGTTACAAAACTGCAGTTCTGAGAATTACAAGTCAGGGTTGAAGGGTTTTTTTCGTTGTTGTTGTTGACAACCCACAGGAGACATTAATTCAACATTTAATTTATTTTGGAGAGTAGGGAAAGATGAATTGTTCCTGCTCTCCTCTAGTCCCCAATTTCTATATACTAGTCATAGAATGCCTACAAGACATTGTGAATTTAGAATTATGTATGTGGAAGTGTTTTGTAAGATGCATAACAAAAGATATTTTGTAACTTCCTAGACAAGATATAATATGTCACAAAGGAAACGTTAAGTTTCATAAAGTAGAACATTACAAAGAATCTTCTCTGGTTATACTGCAGTAAAACTAAAAATTAATAACAAACTTGGAGAAGAACTTTTTGCTCAAAACACTAAAAAGAAAAAGATGATTGAATATAGTCCTATCAGATTTTTTAACATGCTCTAATAACTATAATTGTGAATGGTACCAGTACATGAATAGACAGATCAGAGGAATAGAATAAGAAGTCCAGAGAACTCAATATTGTACTTTCTCTCTGTATATTTTCAGAAATATATGTATGTAATGAGCATGGCATTTCAAAATTTATTGGGGCAAAAATTGGTTTTTAAATAGACTTTATTTATTTGTTTTGGTACCAGGAATTGAACCACTGAGCCACATCCCTAGCCCTATTTTGTATTTTATTTAGAGACAGGGTCTCACTGAGTTGCTTAGTGCCTCATTTTTGATGAGGCTGGCTTTGAACTCGCAATCCTTCTGCCTCAACCTTCTGAGACACTGGAATTACAAGCATGAGCCACTGCACCCAGCTTAGACTATTTTATAAAGAAGTTTTAATTTCACTTTGGAATTGAGCAGAAGACAGAGATTTCTATATACTTCCTATTCCCGAACATGCATAACCTCCTCCACCTGAGTGATACATTTGTTACATATCATTCTCAGAGGGTTCACTCTTGGTGTATGTTCTATGGATTTAGACAAACTTATAACACATACTCATCACTGTAGTATCATACAAAGTAGTTTCATTGCTCTAATGTTGCTAAGGTAACTGAAAAGTCATTTATAAAACAATAAAATTAGCTGGGCCTCATGGCCCACATCTGTAATCTCAGTAACTCTAGAGGCTGAGGCAGAAGTATTGAAAGTTCAAGGACAGTCTCAACAACTTAGACACTGACTTAGAATTTTTAAAAAATTTTTTTAAAAGGTTTGGGAATGTAGCTTACTAGTAAAGCACCTCTGAAGAAGACAATATGAATAAATTCCTCTATAATCTAGGTCTCTAGGAGGCCTTATAACAGTACCAAAAAAAAAGAGAAAATGATAAAATTAGATATATCCCACCATATGCAAGAATAAACTACAGGTGAGCCCAGCATAGTGGCATACACCTGTAATCTCAATGGCTCTGGAGGCTAAGGTGGAATGATTGTGAGTTCAAAGCCAGCCTCAGCAATTTGGTGAGGCTAAGCAACTCTGAGAGACCCTATAGCTAAGTACAATATTTTTAAAAATGTTTTTAAAAAGTGGGGGGCTGGGGATGTGACTCAATTGTTAAGTTCCTCCCCAGTTCAATCCCCAGTACCAAAAAAATAAAAATAAAAAATAACTGCTGGTAGATCAGAAGAACTGAGACTATACAAGTTGTAGAAGAAAATATGGATAAATTCCTCTATAATCTAGGTCTCTAGGAGGCCTTATAATAATAACTCAAAATTCAAGTGTAATAAAAGATTAATGTTTGAGTAGAAAAGAATTTTTATGACAAACACTAGAAGCCAAGTTGAAAGATATACAAACTGGGATATTGCAACTTAAATCTCATAAAGGGTGTTAAAAAAACATTGGATATAAAGAACTTTATTTTTTAAATTTTCTCTTTTTAAATTTGTTCTTTTTAGTTTTACATGACAGTAGAATGTATTTTGACATCATACATACATGGAGTATAACTTCCCATTTTTGTAGTTGTACATGATGTGGAGTTATACTGGCCCTGTATTCATATATGAACATAGGAAAGTTGTGTCTGATTCATTCTACTGTCTTTCCCATTCCCATTCCCCTTTCCTTCCCCCCCCCACTCCACCCTATCCAGTCTGGTGACACACCACCACCCACTTTTCCTTATATTCTCACCAACATATATTGTTACTTGTATTCTTGATAATTACCATTCTGACTAGAGTGAGATGAAATCTCAGTGTAGTTTTAATTTGCATTTTGTTAATTGCTCGTGATATTGAATATTTCTTCATAGATTTGTTGACTGATCATATTTCATCTGTGAAGTGTCTTGCCCATTTATTGATTGGGTTATTTGTTGTTTTGGTGATAAGTTTTTTGAGAAATATTAAAAGAAGGTTTGGGAGAAGTCCAAAAATCTGATAGGAAAATGAATAGTCAATTTTAAAAACAAAACAAAACTTGAAAATGGCCTTTAAAAAGCTTTGATAATGCCTCTTAGTGTTGCTGTGGAGAAACTGCTGCTGTCATACCCAGTGACTAAACTTATGGCATATTCAACAACACTACATTTGTTTACTTTCTGACTTAGCTGTTTCTTGTTAGGATTTTATTCTGGAGATATTCCTCCAAAAGTATGAAAATGTCTACATAGTGTTGTTGTACTTGCTAGTGAAAAAAACCTAAATGCCTATGCACAGGAGAATGAGTGGATAAATTATGGCCCAGTTTCACTGTGTTATACTAAGCTGTAAAAAGAATGGAAGTATCTGAACTGACAGCATTTTCCCAAGGTACATTTAAAAAATTTTTAAAACCAAGTTACCAAAGAAAATATATAGTAAACTACTTTTCATGTTTTTTTTTTTTTAAGGGAGAACTAATATGTATATTTTTTGAGCACTCGGAAAAAATACAGTAATGATAGAAATTAATGACAATTATCTCTAGGGGATGAGTATGAGATAGAAAAATGTGGATGTATAGTTATGTATAGTTGTGACTTTGGGAAATCATGTCAATGTTTTACATTTCAAAGTAATAATACCAGTAAGGATGAGAAATGATTTTGTTAAAAAAAAAGCAAAACCCCAAAATAGAAATCAAAAAGTAACGAATGACTCTATCTAAGGAATGGGGGAGAAATAATCTAAGACACTTTTTAATATAGTACTTTGATTATATGTCCCTAGTGTAATGATCAAAAGTGTAGGCTTTTTTTTTTTTTTAAATAGTAGTATTACCTTGTAATTCTGAAAGAACTTTCTGTAAATTCTGGAGTTTTGCAAATGATTAAACATTGAGAATGATAGGAATTAAGTTTCTCATTGTTGGAGAAGAGATTATAAATATATGTACATTCGGTATGTATGTGTGTATAAATATAGTACATATATAGAGAGATAAATATATGTATATGCATATGTGTATGTGTGTTTTGGGGGGTATACATATATGCTCATGTATTTCTTAGCCCTGTCCAATGAGAAGGCAGAAGTAATGATGTGCCATTAATCCACTGAGTCCCACGTTTTCAATTCTGTGAATGTTTTGATGAGGTTGATGCAAGTGTGTTAAAGTAGGTTGGAAATCAGTCTAGAGCTGATGTATGTTTTTATATTAAATAATACTAATTTAAATAATATTTAATATTACATGTTATATACCATATTTACATTTTTACAGGTGTTTCATATTTGGGATGATGGGACAAAAATGGGGTAAACATTACCCACTGAAAGAAACCAGACTGTAGGGCTGGGCAGAAAAAGTATAAAAGGATGCTGGATTATGTTATTTTGCCACAAAGTAAGGAAGTATTCAGGTTAAAAAGTCTTAAGAACCAGTTTGAAGGGGCCCTACTGGCCAAATGTAAAATAATTCAAGTTTTAAAATGACATTAGTAGATTATCCAAAGAATAAAATAAATGAAAAAGAGGTCATTTTTTACATTAGTGGAACTTACAACTGTAGAAGAAATTATATAATTTTTTTTTAAAATCACTGCTTTTTACACTCAACCTAACAATACTTGATTTAGACAAGATTTACCAGTTGAAGTTAACATCACAAATGTTAGGGCAAAATATCAGGTACCACCTAATGTGGTGCCCAGGAAGGGCCACCATATTCCTTCTGTGGTACATTCCTTGCCCAAAATGTATAATCTGAATCTAATCATGAAAAAACTTCAGATAAGCCCAAATCAAAGGGCATTCAACAAAATAATTGTCCATATACTTCAAAAATGTCAAGGTCACGGAAGATAAAAGTTGAAGAACTGTTCCATATTAAAAGACTTGGCAGCTGAATGTAATGTGGCATCTCAGGCTAGATTCTGGTCCAGGAAAAGAAATAATGCTAAATGAAAATTAATGAAATTTAAATATGGACTGTGGATAATAATATTATATAAGTATGAAATATAATTTTGATTATTACTCCATCGTTATTTACGAGTGTCTTTGTTCACAGGAAGAACACTTAGTTTCTAGAGAGAAAGGCTTGTAATGCCAGCATTTTAACCTTAGAACGGTTACAAAAAAATTAAATTAGGTTTAATAATATGTCCTTCTCTGAACACACAATGAGAGCAAATGATATAGCAAATGGGACTCAATATTCACAGTTAGTGAACTGGCATAGAGAGTATATGATTCTGTGTAATGTTCTTACAATGTTTTTAGAAGTTTGAAATTGTATCAAAATAAAAAGTTATAGAAATATTTTACTATAAAGTATAAATTTTAATAATTTATATTTTTGTCATAAATAACATGAAAGTATATGTAATATTTAGATTTCTCATCTTTTCTATTGATGATACTACTGTTTTGTTTTCCTAATGCTAACCTTTTGTTCTAGGTCTAATTCATGGGCCTTCTTCCGATTTTAGTGATAGTGTGAATTGTCAGAAATTTTGAGTTTGAGTATCTGGGGATCAAGAATCAAAGCTTATCCCTCTGTTAACAGATATAAGTATTGATATATTGTTGGTTTTCACAAAGTTTTTGTTGCACTTTTCATTACTTACAGAGAAAACCTCTTGTGTTGGAAGGAATTGACATAGGAGCATGTACAAGCAAATGGACAGTGGATTACCTAAGCCAAGTTGGAGGGACAAAAGAAGTAAAGATTCATGTTGCTACAGTTGAACAGATGGACTTCATTAGTAAGAATTTTGTATATAGGTATTTTTCTTCTGAGGTTTACTCTGGGGTACAAATAACGTTTTTAAAACTTAAAAAATATTTTTATATCATTATACATCTTTTGGCTATCTGATGTAATCATGGACTAGCTTACTGATTTTTTAAAGTATAGCGCTTTTTAAAAATATTTATTTTTTAGTTGTAGTTGGACACAATACCTTTATTTTATTTATTTATTTTTGTGTGGTGCTGAGGATCAAACCCAGGGCCTCACTTGTGTGAGGCAAGTGCTTTACCACTGAGCACAACCCCAGTCCCTAAAGAGTAGCTTTTAATAGACAAGAATTCAAAGTTAATATAATTATACAAAGATGTTTCCAAAGACCATTTCTTTAACAGGGTATATACCCAATATTTTTTGGAAGTTACAGAAGAGAGAATTTCCACAATTAAAATTAGATTATATCTAAAGTGGGTGGGTATGCTGTGCTCATTCATTGCTCCATTAATCAATTTATCCTACCACATTGGTAAACTTATCTAGTGTAGGAAATTTTCTAAAAGGCTCATGTTTTCTTTTTCTGTCCTCTATAAAAATGTAGGACAAGCTGTGTTTGGTATAATCTTTCATCAATTTGTTTAACTTTTTTAAAAAAATCATATTTTCTAACCTTCAATACTTTGATTTCTTTCATAGTTGTCATGTTATGCTGTGGAATCTCTTAAAAGGAGCTGAGGATTTAGCTTAGTAGTAGAGTGCTTGCCTACCATGCACAAGGCACCAGGTTCAATACCTTGTACTATCCCCAAAGAAAGCAAATAGATATTCATAAGCTGCTGAATATCTAAACTTGAAAGCTTTAAATATTATTTTATTTTGCAGGTTTTATGTGTTATTTATTCCCCTGAGATTCATTAATAATGTTAAGTTAAAAACCAACAACTTTCAAATTCTGAGCACGTTTAATTCCCAGCAAATTAATCTATTGAAAAACCACGTAGTTCACAAAATATTTCAGTTTAGAGATGAGTTAAACAGAGTTTCTAATGTCCAGGGGCATTCCTTTCTCATTAAAGTTTCCAAGCTCATGTTACAACTGCCAAAACTTTTCTCAATTTTTTACCATTTGAATGGTCACCATTATAGTTTTGGTTTTTAATAGACCATGAATTGAATTTAATTACCACAAGGTTTTCCAAGTGTAAGAACTTTTCACTTTTTATTAGATCAGGAAAATGCTGGAATGATGATTTTTCAGCCTGCAATTAATGATGTTCATTTTCCAGAGTCTAATGGGTATTGAAAACTCATCTTGAATTGCTTTGATGTTTTGTCATGTCTTTTCAAAACTTGTTTTTGAAGCACATATATTACATAATAGTTTCTATCCCGGCTTCCTCAAAGCTTTTCCTTAGAGTTATTAAAAAGTTGCAAGATTATTTAGCGCAAGAAAAAAAAAAAAAGGTTTAATACTTTTTAGCATTTACCAGGCAGTAGGAAAGAAGGGAGATATCTAGGCCAAAGAGACACTAGAAAGTACAAAATTCTACAGATACAATATTATAAAAATCACTTCAGTTTGACATTGCTCCTCTTCTTTATCAAATATCTGAAGATGGATACATTAACAAGTATTAACTTTTACATTTTTCTTCTTGAGTCAGGATACTATGGACAAGAGAACCTTGTATGATGAAAGGATATTGATATCTTCTGGTTATAGATCTAATTGAAAAAAAGAGTTTAAATTTCAGAAGCTTTGCTGCCTCTGCCTAGGGCATCATGTAATTCTTTTGTCTTGCTCTTATTATTTATTGTACTTTCATCAATTCTATTCTTATTTTGTAAAGCAGCCTTTACAAAATGGGTGAAGTTTTTTTTTCCTTCCTTTTTTTTTTTTTTTAAATTTTGATGACTACTTGCATGCTGCTGAAGGGTATATGTATTTTCATTATTGCTAACCCTAACGTCTGTCCTTTCCTGAATACTCAGGTACTGTGCCAGGCATTCTAGATTTTATTCATTTTAAACTACAAAACAATCTGTGAGGTAGATATTGTTTATATGATTTTACAGATGGAAAATATGAAGGTTTAAAAATATTAAGCAACTTATCCAAGATCATGCAGTTCAAAATGATAGAACTCATACGTATACTCAAATTTGCCTGACTCCATGGTATCCATGGTAACCCTTATTTGATATTGTCTTTCTTACTGGTCTGTGTGCTAGTCCAGAAAAATGGTCCCTTAATAGTGAAGCGTCATCTCCTTCCTAAGATGTTTCTTTTTATCTCTGTTAATAACTGCAACCTACTAGTTTCTGCCTGTGTAATCATGCTTGCTCAGCAGCTATGTCAGGAACCAGAGCTATCTGAAGAAAGAGAGAAATCAAGGTTACTTGCATGAGAAAGTATTGAAACCCAGAATTCTGTACTAAAATGAAAGATATGGAGAACAAAGGGGCTAGGCTCAGCTTTTGGAGAGGACTTCACTGAGACTGCAGCAGTGCTGAATAAACCTTGCTTTTCTACATCTCCAAGTGCCCCTTGTCTCTTTCTAGGGCCATAACTTTCCATATTTTTTTTACCATTTTTCATAACAATAGTAGATGGGTTTCTGTTTGGAACATGCATGAGGTAACGAAGTCCTTAGATAGAAAACATTGAATAACAGAATAGCAAGTAAATTTATTGATGTAATTGATCCAAAATTTTATATAAGAACAGTACCTTGTAGACTAATCTGAGTAGATGATGGACTCCTCTTTTCTGCATTGCTCATTCTACATAATTAGCAGTGGTAGCCTCTAGTTCAGATTGACTTTCACATTCACAGGAGCCATTAGCCCATAACCTGGCATCAGAGACACTTAGATTTTCAGACGAATACAAGGCAAGAAGTAGCACTTTAGCAGTATAGTATCAGTGAGAACCTCATTCCTCACTCAATTTGCTTTTCCATGACACTTGAGAACAGGTAGCTATTGAAACCTGAAAGTTTGTATATTTCCAAAAGTTACCAGATACCATAGAAGCATTTTTCTACCAATAACTTGGAATAGAAGGATATTGACCTGTAAGGATCCATTTGTAAAATCAATTTTAAAGTCTTCAATTCCACAATTTCAGATAACTTACATCAAACAAGCATACTGCTAAAATGAATTTTTAAAATTTAGAATTCCACTTAATAGGTCATAATAAAAACTATGGATATTGTAAAATGTCATGTTTACCTGCAGCAAGCCTATAGTAATTATATTACTAGTTATTCTCTTATGAAGTCTGAGTATTCTTTTGTACTTATTTCAGAACTTTGCCTTTTGACAAGTTGGTCCAGAGGGCAGCTGAAGAAAAGCATAAAGAATTCTTTATTTCAGAGGTAATTGTTTTTAATTTTTTAGAAAGCATTAGTATGTGTTTATACGCTAACTGATTTTATTAGAAAGTATTCATATGCTAAATTATGATCTTATAAAAGATCATTAGATATACAGGAACTGTAGCCTTCTCTGATAATTGTTCTTAAGCGTTGGTTGGATATGCATTGCCATTTATCAGTTCTCATACCTTGGCCATATTATTTTTCTGTGCTTAAATACACTCATGTATAAAATGGAGATGATAACAGTATCCATATCATAAGAGTTTGTGAGAATTAACTAAGCAAAATCTGTAAAATACTTAGTAGTATGCCTAACACAGATACTATTTATTATATGTAAGATATTAGTATTACTTCCTTTGAAAATGCTTGGATCTAATATGCCAAATTTAAATGCTAATGAAGAACTTTATTTCATATAGGCTGTTTCTACATTTTTTATTAATATGATTTCTTTTGAGTGGTATAACATTTGTTCAAGATTAAATTAGAAGAATTCTTATTTTCTTTATAGTCCAGCTTTAAATAGTTCAGTTTAAATACCTTGAGACAAGGCATTGAGCTACAATATTTCTATAATTTAAAAAAAAATCACTGTGTTATCTCAAAGCTCGTTGCAAAAATAAGCTGCTTTAAGCTTTTAATCAAAAACTGATGTCTATCTAAAAGCCAGCTGGGCTAGGCAGTTTAGTTTAACAGGTGTTTCATTTTCATAGTTCTCTCATCAGGCAGTGGTAATGCTAGATTGCCACCGAAATCCCTGCAAACTTGGAGGTCTGTGAATCTGTACTATGCCTAGAATGTCTTAAACCTAATTCCATTAGCTGTACTACTTTATAGCCATGCTTTGAACATGTGTATTGAGTTGCTGTTTGGCAGCTTTCTGACTGTGGGAAATGAGTGCACAGATTTCAATAGCTGTGAAATGTGAAGTAAAAGAAAGAGAGACAGGATGAAGAATTAAGTCTAAAAATTATGGAAAATCTGTAAACAAGATTAATTTAGACTGTCAGTTCAGTCCTGTGGAAAGCTGAGGCTGAGATAGAATTAGGAGTGCATTAGGGAGTAATGTCTATAAAAGGAAAGGAGAGGAAGCAGGCTTGGGTGGGAGAAGTCATCTAGTATTGTATGTACTGTATGTCAGAGGAGTCCTGCCTTGATTGGCAGGACTACCAACTTAGTCTTTGGTTGGGCCTGCCCTAGGAAAAGTAAAACCTTGTTTCAGGTACTAAGGTAAACCTTAGGAAGTTAACAGCTGGCAATCCTAAGTAAATCACAGTTCTTGCAACTATAATAAGTCCTTTCTTGAATCTTGAATCTGAGCAGTAGATCTCTGCTATGTGAACTTATTTTTTTAAACCCTGAAACATTAGACTGTTAGAAAATCCTTAGAATTTTGAAGAACATTTTTTGAAATCTGTTTAGCCAGTAACATACTTATAGAATCTATCTGATATGATACTAAAAATATGAAAATAGTGAATCCAAGAATTCTGATAGATTTATGATCATAGATATAGGGGTTTAATGTAAATAAGATGTATTTTGAAGTTGTGTTATAATGGTTCATACTGGTTTCAAAGAGGCAGAATTCTTGAGTTGGTTTGCCCCTGAACTTGACCTAATATATCTCAGTTCTCTAATTCATGGAAAATGCAGGTAACAATGAATGGGTTTTTGTTGTTGTTGTTGTTGTCATTATCATTTTTTGCAGTGCTGATTCTCAAACCCAGTGCTTTACAAAATGCTAGGCAAATGCTATACCATCAAGTTATACTCCCAACCCTCCAGTGAATGTTTTATATTTCAGGCAGATCCCTATTTAGCTACTCAGTGAAGTATAAATGATAATTTAAAAAATTATCCATTTGAGTTTACTAGTATGAAATGATAATGTTTCTAACTCACACCTGAGCTGACTCTTAAGGATTTCACTTTAGCATTTCTGTTGTCAGGGATAGGTTTAGCCTGATAAAATGCACTGTAACAAGTTTTTAAAAGATTTATTAAAAGCAAAGAGTATTTTTCTTATCTCTTATTTTATATTTGTATTAAATTAAGAAGTTTGTTGTTGGTGTTTAATAATATTTTGAGATCATGTATTCTATACAAATGGGGATCCTTTTATTAAGCGTTAAGAAACTGTTATAAAATCTAAACAATTATTTGGAGTATAAAGTGCAAATCATTGTGGTTTATGCATGGTGTGTTAAGTGTTGCCTTTAGAATTTATTTTACTTAATATTTTGTGGATCCATTCATCATCATGAGCCACATACATGAAGACATTTCTTCATATGGCCACCAGAGAGCATTAGTAGAAAGGGTAAGGTAATTGAACTTTTTAGAAAAATACTTCACTGGGTCAGATTTTAAGGCTTAATTCCTTTCTTCTTTACTTCCTAAAATTTTTAAATGAATGCTGTTATTTTTCTTTGGGATGTTTAAGGATGAGAAATACTACTTACGGTCTCTTGGAGAAGACCCTAGAAAGGTAAGAAATGTAGACTTAAGGTTGGGCACAGTGGTATATACCTGTAATCCCAGTGACTTGGGAAACTGAAGCAAGTTCAAGGGCAGCATGGGCAACTTAGTGAGACCCTGTATTAAAAAATGAAAGGGAATAGGGATGTAGCCTAATATTAGGTAAAGGGCCCCTGGGTTGAATTCCCAGTTTAGAAAAGAAAAAAAGAACTGTGGATTTAAAACAGTTGCTTAAAGCCTAAGTGATTATATGTGTTTTAACTTACAGTGTAATTTTTATAGTTATTGATTCACATATAACTTTTCTTACTCTATTCTTTTCTCAATGATTTGTGCCCCTAATTAAAATTATTGAAAATTGATTACTTAGTTCTTAGGTAGGACTATAGAATCTTAGTGTTTAAATAAGAAATACAATAAGAATAAGAAATATTATTATACAATAATAAATCCTTTCTATTGAATATTTTATAGATGGCCAGTCAACTAATAAAACACTAATCCAAAATAATTATAGAAATCCTGAATAATTCATTATATAAGCTTTGATGTATATTTGGAGTCAAATGGATAGAGCCACATTAGAGTAGATGACAATTGTATCAATCTTGCTTAAAGTAGAAAGAACCTTTCTATTAATGAAGTACATAGAGCTTAACAGTGATACTGTTAAATCTGCAATCTTATTTACACAGTCTGTTATTTCTTCATTAGTAAGATAATGTGTTAACAGATGTTCACATCACAATATTTTAAAACACTGAGCAAAGTTTTACCCTTTTCTTTCTTTCTTTTTTTTTATTTATTTCTTACATACATGACAATAGTGGAGTGCATTACATTCATGATTATCCATTCACAGTACAATTTTTTGTAACTCTGTATATAAAGTATGTTCACACCAAATTATGCCATTATACATGAGCGCTCTTATTTTTTTTGCATACAATTCTTAATAAACCTTTATACTACCCTTTATCATATATCTGTTTATATATAAGGTATGTTGACACCAAATTCACATCTTCATACATGTATTTTGTATAATGATTAACCTCTTCCACCATCCTAGCTATTCCCCTTCTTCCTCCCATTCCCTCCCACTCCTTACCCTTTTCTTATTATGTAGTCTCATTAGTAGCCTTAGATAAAATATGCATTTTAAAATTCTTTCCAGAGGTTGTCTTTTTATCTAATATTTTGTTTTTATGTTTCTGTCAATACAGGATGTTGCAGATATCAGAAAGCAATTTCCTTTATTAGAAGGAGATATTAAGTTTCCAAACTTCTTCAAAGACGAACAGTTCTTTTCCAGTGTTTTTCGAATTAGTTCACCTGGATTACAGCTTTGGACCCACTATGATGTATGCTAACTATGTGAAAAATCTAAATCCACATAAATATAGCATTTACAGATTTAATATTCATAATTTTAACTTTTTAAGCTACCCTAAAGATCTTTGTGGTGTAATTTGCTTAAACATTGAGTTTTGAATAAGCAGTTTATAAGGCAGTGATGGGGAAGTGAATTATTTAGCTAATGGCAAAGTCTAGTTTTTCACATTTTATTTCTCTGTGGTCTTGTTTTTGATTCATCCTTATATATGTAAGTTTTATGAAGTGTATTGGGGTCTTCTGTTTTTATTTCTTAATGGGTGAAAGATGACCATCAAGTAAAGCACTGGAGGGGCAGACAGGTGTGTAAATGATACACATGACTCTTGCCATACAGTCACGTTATTCAGGAGACAGGCAGGAGCTTATGGTGAACTATTTCTAATTGTAAGAATTTGGGGGTATCTGAAGAGCTTAGTATTTATATCTTTGTCTACTGTATTTTTAAGTCAGAAAGTAAGTTTAGGTGTTTTTTTTTTATTATTTAGTCTATGGTATTATAATTTTATTTGCTTAAATATACATATATGTATATATATTTATACATTTTTTTTAAATATTAAAATGCTAGTATGGTGTGTGATTTGGTGTCAGGAAGTGGAGAAACAAGAAGCTGAAGTAATACCTGACAGGTTTCCAAAGATAAAATAATTTTTTAAAAGGTTCTAAATCAAACTGCTATGTTTTATATGTATATTTTATAATTCATTTAAAGACCTCTTGGGAGGATTTTAGCATAGTCAGTAAATCTATAATTAAGTGAGACAGACATGAAACCTTAGCACATTGTTTTTTTTAAGATTTTACATGAATGACATGGTGAGAAAAATGATAGTGACTCATAACATTTTTAGCTATAAGTTCTATGACTTGAGAACATTTTAAAATTTTAAGTAGTTTTCCTTTTACCTCAACTTGTAAAAAAATATATAAAGCTTTTCTTAAGAAATGCTAGTTATAATTATATGGTTAAGGTTTATATAAGTAAAGGGTTACTGCTAAAAGGAGAAATGCTTCAGTAGTAATGACATGTGAATAATCATGAATATATCTTGCTCAGTGTATATCTTAATTCCTTAGCTGAGAATCATGTGGCTCTGCCTTTTAACATTTTTAACAGTCAGTACGAAGAAGGTATATTCTTGCATATATAGGAAACATTAAGATTACTCTATGAAAAAATGTATTAAGAAAATTTGCAGGACCAAGGTTGTAGCTCAGTGGTAGAGCACTTGCCTAGCATGTGTGAGGCACTGAGTTCAATCCCCGACACCACATAGAAATAAACAAATAAAATAAAGGTATTGTGTTGATCTATAACTAAAAAAAAATTAAAAAGAAAAAAAGAAAATTTGCCAGATTATATTCCTGTGCAAATAATTTGATAAGGAAGATATCTATAATCATATTATTGTTAGACATGTATTAAGAGTTAGCAGTGGTTGTAACCGTACCCCTTTTCCTAACACCTAATTTTTCTAAGGGCTTTTACTCTGTTCTCTAATGTTGGTTGGTCTTAGAACATTCCTTGAAACTTAAATAAAGAAGTTATTAACTAAGCAGAGTATCAAGTACAATTTAACTATTTTCACAGTCAATTAATGGTTGGATAAGGGAAATTAGTTTCGTAATACTGGACTTCTGAATTTGCCAGTTCTTCCTATTTTAAGGTAATACTGTAGAAATACCTTCAATACAGGCATAGCTATATGTGGAATATGAGGATTTCCATTGTTAGATTAGAATATGAGTTTTAGGTAGTGTAAGTCAAGTCTTATAAAAGATTGGGGTTTAGTCTGGGTACAGTGGCACATACATATATATTCCCAGCTACAGAGGCTAAGGCAGGAGGATTGCAGATTTGAGGCTAGCCTAGGTAAGGGCAACATAGTGAGACCCTGTCTCAAAATAAGTAAATGAAAAAGAATTAAGGTTTGTAGTTAATTATGTGGAAAGTTGTTGGTTCTATTTATTTGAATTTTAGACACTGCTTACCAATAAGTTTTTATTGGTCTTCAGGTAATGGATAACTTTTTAGTACAAGTAACAGGAAAAAAGCGTGTTACACTATTCAGCCCTCGAGATGCCCAGTACTTATATCTATCAGGTATGTGTTTTTTAAAAGTTTTATATTTTTAATGTCTATTCAGTTACTCCTTTTGAGAAATCTCTATTCACATTGAGGGGGAAAAACATTTTGGGGCACTTCTTGCTATGATTTATTGTATTCTCCATTGTATATGTGTAATACATACAGGAGTAGTCTGCCAGAAGAATGAGATTTTCATATTCTTATCTTAATTGCATGGATATCAGTGTTCATAATTAAAGAACGGGTCATGGAAAACTGTCTTAGGTTTCAGGAGAATAGTCATGGCCCTCATGGTGTGAGTACAGTGATTGAACAGAAAAGAATTAATTTTCATATTTGTATTTGTAAAAATACTTTTTCTAAAAATGCTAACTTTGTCCAATCTTTGTTTTCCTTTTTTTGAATTTTTCAGGTACTAAATCAGAAGTACTAAATATAGACAACCCAGACTTAGTTAAATATCCACTCTTTTCCAAGGCTAGAAGGTACGAGTGTACCCTTAAAGCTGGTGATATATTATTCATTCCTGGTAAGATTTCTAGACCTCAGTAATGTGCTGTTTATAAAATCTGCACTGTGACTCATACTCTATGTGATTATTTTTCTCTATGTGTGTGTATGTTTAAAGAATACCTCAGCAAACTCTTAGAAATTAATAGTCTTGTTTCTCAAAAGCAATCTATGTTGCCCATACAATTATATGTAGTATGTAATATTTGATGATAAATGACTATGTTACTGGTTTTTCTCTATTTACTATATTATACTTTTAATCATTAGAGTATACTGCTACCTATATATATTAAAAAAAAAATGTTACCTGTATAACAGCCTTGTGTAGGTCCCTCAGGAAGTACTCCAGAAAAAAACATTGTTGCCATAACAGATGTCAGCTTGCTTTGTTATTCCCCTGAAGACCTTCAGTGGGACAGGATGGGGAGATGGGAGGCAATGATCCTGATCCTGTGTAGATATAGGTGAAAGTATGTTTGTGTTTTGTTTTTTTCAAAAAAGTTTAAAAAGTAAAAAAAAAAAAAATTATTTTAAAAATAGAAAAAAGCTTGGAGGATAAAGATATAAAGAAAGAAAAATAGTTTTGCACAGCTGTATAATGTCCTTCATGTAATTGATCATCTATAAAAACTGGATGCATTGATTTCTCATTCTTATATTCATTGAGAATAACCATTACATCAATCTTAAAATCAGTTGTCTTTTCTAAAATTTGCATTTACATTTTTGATTTTTGTATCTTCAGAACATGGTTAAGGGACATGCACTTTTCTGTTATTCTACATATAGGTTTTTTAAAAAACAAAAAGTCCCCAAATATTAAACATTTGCATATATTTTGAAACAAAAGCAAAAGTCCCATCTTAGGATTTAAATTTAACAGAATGGTTAGTTTTTTTCTTTTAAGAAAGATTCTAGAAAAATTGAAGTGAAGATTAAAACTGAAGACTACTTCTGCATATCAAACTATGTTAATCTTTTCTTTTTCCTCAAGCACTCTCAGAATGAATTTGATTCGAAAATTTAAATCTTTCTTTCTAAACCTTGCATAAGATTAAACATTGTTTGACATGATTAGTACTCCATCTTTGTTACATTGTTGTGTTGCTTTAGCATGCCTCTGGCACTTATATTTTGAAAATGTATAGACTCAATTGAAAACAAAGTAAACTTTTTAGTGAAAATAAAAAATTAATTAGGTATATAATATATTTTACCCATCGCCTCCACCATCAAAATATTTGCTGTAGTTTTGTGTACTAATTGTTGTAAAGGAGCTGAAATATAACATGATTATAATTGCATTAGAAATATAAAACTGAGGAAGCTACAATGAATGCAAATTTAAGCAAGTTAGAAAACCAAATTACAGCTTGAACATGAAGTCTTTGAGAACAAAAGTCTTGTTCTGAATCAGAAAAGGTCATACTTCTCAAAATAATTGAAATGTTCTGTATACCAAGAAAAAAAAAAGTTTTTTATGTAGTTGTATGACTCAGGAAGTGTAAACAAGTAACACAAAACATAACCCCAGACGAGAACTACAAAACAAATACAGCTTTATTATGTCCATCAAGTTATAAAGGAAAAATTGTTATTTCTAAAGATTTTTAAACTAAGGGTTTCAACACTTTAAATTGGTTTGGCAATTCATAAAAGTTAAAATGATTCTGTTAGAAGCTGGGAGTGTGCTAACGAAGGGATCTGGTTACAAGAATTATTTCTTACATTGGCTATATGCAATTCGTGATATTTCAGTGACATTTTGGTTTTTTTTTTTTTTTAACTGTAGGTTTTATTTTTAACTTGTTTTTTGAAACTTTCTCCAGCTTTATGGTTCCATAATGTAATTTCTGAAGAGTTTGGAGTGGGAGTGAATGTCTTTTGGAAGCACCTTCCATCTGAATGCTATGATAAAACAGACACCTATGGAAACAAAGATCCTAAAGCAGCATCAAGAGCTGCACAAATTTTAGACAGAGCCTTAAAAACACTGGCTGAATTACCAGAGGAATACAGGGACTTCTATGCACGGCGAATGGTCTTATACATTCAAGACAAAGCCTACAGCAAGAACTTTGAGTAAATAATAAAGTGAATGTGATGAATAATCTTTTAATAAAATTTAGTTCAGACATTGAGAAAGTATAACAAGTTATAAATTTTTAAAGATTCATTCTTTGTTAAAATAGGACAGATAAATCAGTCTCAGATTTACAGATTAACTAAATATGATGTGGGTCTTGGTATGGTTTCTACTTGATACAGATTGTTAAAAGAGTTTTAAAGAGTGCCATACTAGGACTACTCATTAGCTGTACGATGCAAATTATTGGGCTAGGGATATAGGTTGGTGATACACACATGCTTAGGGTCCTGGATTTGATCTTCAACACCAACAAACACACAAACAAAAAAAACCCCAAATAATTAAAAATCCAACTTAAAATGATTCCAGCAATAAGAAACTATATTGACTCTCATTACATGAAGTCTCTGATAGGTTTCAGTGTTTCCAATCCATTGATTTGGTAATGTCACCAAACTTTGGAGATTTTTTCCCCCTTTCTCTAGCCACAGCATTGGCAGTTATCCTAAGGCTGGCTACCCTTGTGGTCATGGGATGATTGCCAGTAGTTGGGGCCTTGTGTATCTTCATTTAAATGCAGCAGAAGAATCTGGCTGGATTCCAGTGGTTCTGTGTTAATATGGAAATTTGGTAGCAAATTTCCCAGAATTTGCTACCAAATCCTTGGGTCTTATTGATGTATAAAGTAGCTTAGATCTGCCCATCCCTGAGCTAGTCATTAGGCAAAGGATATAAAATAACCCTTAGGCTAGTCAGGTCTCCTGGAGCTGGGAATAGAATCGTTTTTGAGGCCTATGAGGTATGGATGGGGCAGAATGGATAATTTTTAAAACCAGGGTTCTGATAGGAAAGGAAAAACAGTGGACAACCATCTAAGTTTTCTACTACATTTGCATGTAATCAGAATCTTTTGAGGCATTTTTTTTGAACACTTATATGCCTAGGCTCCAACTATGTTATATGTTATATTCAGTACATTTGGGATTTGGTATAGGTATCTAATAGACCTTATAAGCTGTTTTGATGTATAATCAGGACTGAGAATCATTGGACTATAGTGATTTGTATTATTAGTTTTGTGATTTATCCAAAACAAATGTTTAATTGATCCTGGTTTTGATCCTGATATGTCAAATCAGCCTCCTTTTAAAATTTTTTTATATAGAAAATAAATCAGTTTTAGTTTATATGTATGGCTAAATATCAACCTAATTAAAGTTTCTCCTACTAAATACATTTTTACCTAGTCTTTTTCTAAATAAATGTTTGTTTGTTTTTAATGAAAGATCCTAATGTTGTCTTTGAAGACAATGGGCCATTGTGTGTCTTCTATGCTATTCTTTGTTTTGTACCTAGCCATTATGTTGCAATGTCACTGGAACAAGACCAAGTATATTTATTGAACACAAATGTGCCCATCCAAAGCAATCTCTGTGAGTACATCATTTTTGGTGCATTTTAATTAATTTTCTCTATTGAAGATAATCCATTCACTCATGTTTTATGCTGGAGTAGTTTCAGGCATAAAATGCGAATCACAATAAACAAGAAAGGAAAAGTTCTGATTTTCCTAGGCATCTTTTGAAAAACTTACTAAATTAACTAAGATCAACAAAGGTGATAAAAAGTCTCTCAGAAAGGAACTGTTTTAATATACTAGCCAAATCTAATTACCAGATTTTGTCTTTATTTCTAAAACTAAGCAAGGAACTTCTTCAGTGATTCCTGTTGTTTCAGGAAGAAGAAAGACAAAATTCTCTTAGTTTTGTACAGTATTTATAGTCTGCTTTTAATAAACTTTCCTCTCTTTGAATTTCCCTTTTCTTAACCAATATGAGAATCAGTGCAAAGTATAAATGTGGCAGTAAACCAGTTACAATTGGCTTACTGAATATTCATTTTATTTTGTTTTGGTTAGTGGGGAAGAAAACTGGGTGAAGTTAAATAACCTCTGAAGATTATTTTCCTCATCTTTAAAATAGAACTAATGCTTCATACGTTTCTACAAAAAAATATGAGGAGATAGTTAAGAGCAGAAACAGTTGATGGCTAGTGCTAGCTATTCTATTTAATTTTCTTGCTAAGAGGTGTGAGGTAGCTCCTTTTGTAGTATTACATTTGGAAGGCTAGAGATAAACCCTCTGGGAAGTTTTAAAATTATCTCTAAGGTTGTATTTTTTGTTAGGGTCTGTTCATTTTAAAATTGAGATATTTTAATCTTTTTTGCCTTTGGGGTTAAGGCCAAATGAATGAAATATTTCTCAGTATATGTTAAGGATAACCTCACAGGGATTCTAATCAACCCAGATTGTATAAATGCTTGTCCAGATCCACACAGCTGTGATAGAAGATGGGATTAATTTCAGTGGTAGTGACCATATTCTCTCTTCTTAATGTGTAGCATATCTCAAATACTTCTGAATGGATTGGATAGCTTTTCTTTGGCTAGTTTGGGAGCTGGACCTGATGTACAAAGGAATTTTCTTCTCAACAAACCTTCATATATACAAGGATTCAAAATAAAACTAATAAGCAGGCAGACAGCAGAATATAATACAAAAAATGGAACAGTGCAGCTGAAGAATAAAGCAAAGGTATATGTACTGGTGTGGAATTTTCCCAATGTAACATCATACAAAAGGTGTCAAAATATGCTGCCATTTGTGTAAAATAAGGTGCTGTATGTAAATATTTATATAGGCATGAATTAGCTCTGCAAGACTTTACAAGAAACTAGTGATAGTGGTTGCCTCTGAGAAGAGGCTGAAGAGCCAGTGGCAAGACTGGCAGTTTTGTATTACTTGAATTTTTGTTCATATCATCCTTTCAAAATACATTTTTAAAGCATTATGTATGAAGTGTAATTATTAAATTTTCAAGAACATTAACGATATTTTTCTTGGAACATGAGTACATTTGAATTCTACTTACTCAGTAATTAATTTCAAACATCTTTCATGAGGTATCAAAACAAAACCAACAACGCTTAATTTGTATCTTCATCCTTCTCAAATAGCTACATGAACCTAAGTTCTTAAGAACCTAGTAACAAGGTTTTTCTCTCACCTATAAAAAGTTTTAACAGATATCCAAGATGAATGAATCAGAGTTTAATAACAACAAAGAAAAAAGTATTGGAAGTCAGAAAGCAGGTCTGGATAGAATTGGAACTGTGCTGCATGCGTCCTTCCTCTGGTGCTAATAGATATGGTCAGAAGGAACTAACACAGATAAGCAGTCAGGCATACATCTCTGGTGTTGCGTGTCTAGTTTCGAGCATACATGCCATGAGTGCTGGGGCGTCTTAAATATATCCATAAGTGGAAACTAAAATGACCTCCCTAAGGAACTGCCTATTATGCTGGGCCTCTCTGCCCTTGTATAGAGCAACTAGACTTAGAAATTAAGCTATTTATATCTCATCCTCTAAGGCATGTTTTTCTTAAAGACCCTCAAATGAAAATAAAACACACTAGTTTATGACTACTACCTTTTGTTATATATCTCTCTCTTTATATCCATTCTAGATTTCATCTATTACATATTTCCATAGTAACACACTGGGACTTTGTGCTATATCCTTATGGTCTAGACTCTGTTTGCTCTTGGTGGATGCCCAGACATTGGTGCATGAATGAAATGAGAACTGGATCATACTACATAAATTCTAAGAAACTCTGAAGGAGCTAAAATACAGATACCTGAAATGATGAGCAAAGAAAAGGAAGAACTTAAAAGAGACTTAGTGCTCTAAAAAATGCAACAGAAAAAAAAATGGATAGAATGCAAATTTTTATGGAGTAATTTAAAAAGGAGAATGGTTCTGTTTTTACAGAAAAGATTTTTCAGAGTTGCTCACTCAAAAAATCATGGAGGTTAATGAAAGCATATATAGAAACCAAAACTGGCAAGATAGAGATAAAGCTTCCATTCATTCAAATGATATGAAGTTTTAACAATGTTGACAACATAAAGCACATCAAAACACACTTCTGTAGATTATTAATTTTAATACAATTATACATTCATGCTGTGGTGGTAACAACTTTCACATTATTTGTAGGACTACTTTTCTCAATTGACTCTTTCATCACAAAGGCACAATCCAAGAGGATATACTAACATTTACAATAACAGTTCTAAATGTGGAGAAAGGACCAATCTAAAGGGTCAAACAAATGTTTGTATATGGATCACCTAGAATATATTTCACTTCTGAAAATATTTTTACTTTTCAATATTGTCTCACTTTGATGTGATAGCAGTTTTAGGTACCCAGTGGGTCATTCTTAATATCTCCTCCATTTGATATATAACAATTATAATTAAGCATTCATGTGACTGGATAGGTGAATTCAGATTCAAATATTTCATATTTTTAAAATGAATTTGTCTATTAAAAGTCCTATTTTTCCAGTTTAGTTAAACCTGTGAAAAGAAAAGCCTTTTCTTTGTCCCTTCTTAGCTCATTTCAGTAACTCAGCTATTTTATTAGATACAAGTGAATTTAACAAAAGAATTATTAAATTGAAAAAAGCCACCCAATCATGGTGCTTTAAGGCAGGTAACACATAAAATATTAGAATCTATTCAACTTGTTTCTGTGATAGAAATTTTTGGTCTGGAAAGAAGGTATTTTAAAAATTTAGATACTACTCTTGTACAGTTAATAGAATTATGTTTGTTTTAAAGTATCTGGTTAAGAATCCTTTCTCATGAGTCTCTATTTGGAATGTATTTACAGAGTAATTAAGATGTAATTCTGGGAAGAAATCAATAAATAAACATTTTTGCCTTATATTGTTTAATAAATTTAGGTCCTCTGGGTCATTAAGATAGTCATCTTTAGCATTTTACTTTTTTCAGTCCTAAAGCAGCATGTTACTTCCCTGCTTAGTTATTTCATGACCTGCAAAAGCATTATTAATAAACTATAAAAAAGTAACTGGTCAGCTTTTATAATCACACAGCCATATTCCAATGTTGGTTAAAATTCATTAGATCTTGGTTTCTCAAAATGTATTTATCTAGGTCAAGAAAAACGGGCAGAAGGAAATTTCACCCAAATTATGTAGTAGTGTTAAGCAAATTCAGTTTTTGAGCCAAAATTAAATCATTTGTGTCTTCAAACTTTCCCTTGTAATTTTTCTTATAGCAATGTAATTTTGCATTTTGGCCAAAGAGAGCTATTTTCTTTTGGCAGACAAAATCATGTTTCTGGAGAAACACTGATTTAGATCTATGGAATCTGTTTCCTTTTCAATAGAGCAGCTGATAGAGTATTATATATTTATTTTACCTAAGTTGATCTCTTTCAAAATACTAACATAATGAAAATTTGAAATCTACTCTGTAGTATATTTTTATCAAATATATATATATATATACATATATTTTTATATATATATATAATTATATATTTATATATATAATTATATATATATAATTATATTCAATTTAAACCAATTTTCAAAAACAACTGTATTTTGGCCAATATTTAAGAAAGCCCAAAACAGTCAATTAAAAACTGTCAATTAAAAATTAAGCCACAGTGCATAAGTGTAAAGCTTAAAAAATCAGCTTTATGCTATTACACATTCTTGGAGAACTGGAAATATATTTGACTCTCAAGAAAAAAAAAACTTGTTGTACATTAAGAATGAATTCATAAGTTTATAAAACGTAAGAGGCAGGATTGTTACTCCAAAATGATGGAAAACATCAGGGTGCTTTTGCTTTGTCTGAAGAGAAATGAAGTGCTTCCACTCAAGTTTTCAGTGCCAAAATAGCTAACTGCTGTTATAATGTCACCAAATTTAGTTTGAAACATTACTCAAAGAATCAACTATTTCCAACAATAGCAATTTTAGTTGTCATTAACCTTCATTTTTAAGGGTCCTATATTTTCTCATAGAATTATCACAAACCACCTTTTTAGATTTCAAATTAACTAATCTAACCCAATCCAAATTAAAAACTGTTCACAATCACAAGCAAGGAATACTATTGCATATTACACCCATATTTTAGGAATGTGTGCTTCTCCCTAACCCCCAGACTGACAATGCATTTATGAATTGCATCTTACATGTCATTATCTGAATTTACAGCACTCAAAGTGCATATGCTTTTCCTCTAAACAAGTACATTAATATTCTTGTAGTCTCAAAATACCTCATGAACCCTGAAGTGATTCTCTATAGAAGGAGCTTCCTTTGTAAAATGAATTTGACTAGTCACCTGCATACCAAAATCCTCAAGTATCTGAACAAATTTCTTATGCTCCTTTCCAATCCAAGATCTCATTGGATCATGTACTTGGTAAGGTGTTACGTGGGTGTGAACAATAATCCCTGTTTGTGCAAATTCTTTCAAGACTTCTGGATATGTAACCCATGTATTGCTTCCTCCAGAATGACCACCATCCAGCCAATACATCGTTCTTATGCTTTTGATGAAACCATCTATGTTCTTGTCTTTCTTGGCTTCTTTCAATTCAAAAAGCAACTGATTCAAAACGACACAACCTTTACTGAATCCAATCAAAGTAAAAGATGCACCATTTAGTGATGGTGGATTAAAACTCGGGGCAGACTCATCAGATTTTTCACAGGTCCTCTCTTTTTCTCCCTGGCAACCATTACTAGTAGTAGGAGAAGAATTAGATCTACAGTTAGATGTTTTGGAGTCCTTATTCCAAACATTGCCATTCTTCGATAGCAAACCATTCTGACTTAAGTTAAAAGCATTAACCAATAACATATAAAGGTGCTTAAAAGCTCCAAAGTCAGTACTGTGTTCTGGGGCACCAAACATGTTGCTTTTCACAAAATTGTCATAGCAGCTGAATTTGTGCAAATGCATTCGGGAACACTTTATCACCCAAATATAACTATTGGGGAACCGGTGGGCTAAAATGGTGGCAACGTTTTCTAGACTCCAGTTTTCCCACTGGTAATTCTCAGGATGACGAGTCATAATTTCATGGTAATTCTGAAAAGTAAGAAAGATGAAATAAGCATTAAATATATATTGACATAAAATTATTTCCACAAAATAGTTTCCCATCTTTGTGGAGGAAATCAAGAGGTTACAATGACCTATGGCTAATGTTCTAGAAATGAAAACAATTTGTCTTTACTTTTCTGATTATAAGATTTTGAAAAAAATAAGTCTCAAATCTATTTAAGAGAAAGGGTAATTGAATAGTAATTTTAAAAAATAACTGAGAAGGATATGTTTACTACATTTTATTTAGTATACATATGATCCAATTTCCTAATAAATGAACTGAAAATATAAATTTGGTTCATTACACAGACTTTTTGTATGTGAATACCCAAATTTAAATGAACTGAAACTACAATTAAGAGTTTAGTTTCTTTTCAATTTCAAGTGGTTAATAGCCACAAGTGATTAGAAAGGGGTAACTGCTAATACTAAGTGGCTAGTGGCTATCATACTGGACAAGACATATTAAATGGTGGTAAGTGCAACAGAAATGAAAGTAGAGGAATAGGAGGGTAGAAAATCAATATTTAACACAGAATGATCAGGAGCTGCTTCTCCAATAAGATGACTGTTAAGAAAGAATTGAGGGAATGTGCCCCATGCATAGTTCAGGCAGAGGGAAGTACAGCTGCAAAAGGCCATCTGGTAAAGACATGTGGGATAAAAGCAAGACAAAGCCATGAGGACATTGTGGCTCTAGTAAACAGGAGCAAAAGTGATCACAAGGAAGGCACAAAGATGTGAGGACTTGGCATCTGCTCTGAAAGGTTTTGGAGCAGTGGACTGATTCAGTCTATATTTTGAAAGGATTACTCTGCCTCCTCTGTGTAAAGGGGCAAGAGCTGAAGGAGGGAGACAGAGAATCCCCATGAGAAGGTGGTTTGAAATAGAGTGGTAGTAGATACAGAGGTGCTGAGAAATGTTCAGACTGTGAATTATTTTAAAAGTGGAATCAATAGGATTTGTTAAGGGACTGAATATACAATTTATGGGAAAGAAATAAGATAAATAGTACTGCAATGCTACCATTTTTGTTTTCTAAAAAAATGCAAAAAACATCTCTGGAAGGACAGAGATTTAAAAGTAAGAGTGGTAGCCCTGGGGAAGAGAAATGGGAGACTAGAGGGACCCTCCATCCGTACCCATCCTTAATGCTAATGTTTATCTGCATTAATATTTTAAAAATCTTTGCTACTATGATAAAAATGATGTCTTAGTTTTGATTAAATTTGCATGTTTTGATTCCTAATTGGGGTTTTGTTTATTAGCAATTTTCATTTGTTAATTCTCTATTCATGTCCTTTGATACTTTTCCCACTGGTATGCTCAACTCCTTCATAATAGTTTTATTCCATTAATATCAGTAGTTTTCCATATATATGTGTGTGTGTGTATATATATATATATATATTTTTTTTCCATTAAAAAGAATTTACTGAAGAATATTCCATTGTGTATGTATACCCCATTTTCTTTATCCATTCATCTACTGAAGGGCATGTAGGTTGGTTCCACAGTTTAGCTATTGTGAATTGAGCTGCTATAAACATTGATGTGGCTTCGTCACTGCAGTATGTTGTTTTTAAGTCCTTTGGATATAGACTGAGGAGTGGGATAGCCTGGTCAAATGGTGGTTCCATTCCCAGTTTTCTAAGGAATCTTCCATATATATTTTAAAAATTTATTCTCAGAAGATTGTATCATTTGACTTTTCTATGAATTTTGCTCTTACCTTCTGTATATTCATATTTATGATATACACAATTATCATAAAATCATAGGCACTTAGATCTGGAAAGGCTTATCTAAATTCTTTTTATAGTTAAGGAATCTGATATCCTAGGAACTATACAGTTACTATATTTATTACATATTTATTTAATGAACCAAAATGAACCCAGATTTTATGACTGTCACTTTAGATTCTACCACATAGAAGGTACTATAAATTGAAATGGTGTCTCCCTGGATTAGCCCCAGGTTATATGATTAGAAAGGGGTAAATGCTAATACTAAGGAACTATGTGTACTAAAATGAAAAGAATGGGATTGTTACTGTCAAACCCCAGATCTAAGAACAATGGATAAGTTCTTCCATATTCTGAAAAGAGGCACCAGGCATTCCTATAGGACTTGCTAACAGACAGCCAAAATTGCTTCTGCAGCCCAGGCTATTACCTATTGCCAACCTGCATACAGAGAAGGGCTTTCTTTGGAGAGGATATTCATCCTAGTTGGGAATGTGATGCACTTACTATCCTTGTAGGAGTAAACCATGAAGGCCATGCTTCTCCTCATCCCCAGTGAGGCAGGCAACGAGAGAACCTCTGGATATAGACTGAGGAGTGGGATAGCCTGGTCAAATGGTGGTTCCATTCCCAGTTTTCTAAGGAATCTTCCATATATATTTTAAAAATTTATTCTCAGAAGATTGTATCATTTGACTTTTCTATGAATTTTGCTCTTACCTTCTGTATATTCAGATTTATGATATACACAATTATCACAAAATCATAGGCACTTTGCTACTATGATAAAAATAATGTCTGGGAGATCTCTGGGAGAGATTAAGAGGTGCTTACTCCAGTTAGATGCTTGCTGACTTGCAAAGACTTACAGAACCACCACATCACTGCCATTGAATTAAGAGTTAAAGGATTTTCTGAAAAACTTGAACATGTCTCTGAGAGTCCAGAAACCTTCATAAAGATTTAAACTGGGTGGTCTACCCTTACAGCAGAGTGAGGAGAACCACCTTAAGGTATAAGCTACAATTCCATCAAAAATGCATCAAGAGAGCATTTTTGCTGGCATAAAGTGCACATCCCAAGTAAGCAAGCTAGAGTGACCAGAACAGGATCCAACCTAAAAGGGCTGCCTGATAGAGCACAGAAAGCCCCAGGGTACATGGCTAGGGCACACTGCTTAGGACATGGACATCTACATATCCTACTCTTTAGCAAAGCAAAATTTTTAAAGTTAAAATTGGAATTTATCCAGTTATGAAAGGATTAACAAGTCATATATCCATACATAGTAATAGTCTGGATTTGTAGATGGATTAGAAAATGAGGTATGAAAGAAAGATCTAAAGGATGCCTTGAGCAACTGAAAAGGTAATTTCCAACTAGAATAAGGAAGATTGTACTGAGGTAAATATCCAGTGATTTTAGTTTGAGATATCTATTAAATACCCAAAAGGAAATAACTGCATGCAATTGGCAAGCTTAAAGTTCAGGAATATGTTTAGGCCAGATACACAAATGTCAAGGGTTGTCTTGGTGTAGGTGATAAGTAAGAACACAAGACTGAGAGATCACTAGGGGAGTGAAGATAGAGGAAAAAGTACAAGAATGAAACACTAGGGTATTCAAATAATTTAAAAAGTGCCCAGAAGGATGAGAAGGGACTGGAACTTATTAGGTAATAACATATTTAATCTCCATTAACTCTATAAACTATTACTCTCATTTTATAGCTGAAGTAGCTGAAATATTGAGAGATTTAAGAATTGCCAGAGATTTCATAGCTAAAATATAGAGAATTTGGGTTCAAATCTAGGCAATTTGACCTCAAAGCCTATTTCTCTTCTAGAAGACCTAATGTTTGTAGAATACTCCATGCAATGCACAAACTAAGTGTATCACTATACAAAAATCTAATGGAATCTGAGACTACATAAAGAAAAGATGTTCAGATGAAACTACCTGTAGAACTCTTTAAAACTCATCTGAAGACTTATATTCTCTCTGGTACCCTTTAAAAACAAGAAATGCTTAATAAACATTAATTATCATTCCCATTATCATCATTGCTATAGGCATGCCTGCAGTAGTTGGTCACAAATCTCTGGAAATCAGTGTCAGAAATACCAAATGCTGTTTTCCCAACCAGACTACAAAGGAATCAAATTGTAAATTTTCTCATAAATCTAAATACTAGTTTTTCATAGGCCAGATACACAAATGTCAAGGGTTGTCTTGGTGTAGGTAATAAGTAAGAACACAAGACTGAGAGATCATTAGGGGAGTGAAGATAGAGGAGAAAATACAATGTATGCAACTGGCAAGCCTAAAGTTCAGGAATATGTTTAGTCAACCAAACGAGTCTCGTATTTTGAGGGCAAGGGAAAACACTACATATATTTTACCGTTATTTGACTCATGGGTGGAAGTTAAATATATTGTGTTAAAGCATCAATTTCAAAAACAAGAATATTGTTTCATGGCATAAAAAACCCATCTAGCTATATTTTAGCTTTACCTGTCTACTAGTGCTAACAGAACTTTGTGATGATAGAAAGTTTCATATTCTATGGAAATAGTGCCTATCTGCACTGTCCAATACAGTACACACCTGCCACCTCTAGTAACTGAGCACTTGCAGTGCAACTAGGATGACTGACAAACTGGATTTTTACTTAATAATTTTACTTAATTACAGCTAATGTGTTAGACAGTGCAGTTCTGGATTAACACCCAGCTTCCAAGACAGCATAACCATGAATATTTGCCTGCAGCTATCGAAGTAATAATAAAGACAAGCCTGCAGCTATAAAATTAATAATAAACATAAAAAACAAAAAGAAAATTTAGGTGAACATCAAAATATGGACATACTTAGCAATTACTGTCCCTTTTCTTCCACCATCATCCAACATTTTTAGGATTATTGTGTCATGCCTTTGTAATGGGTTTTTTGTTTGCCTGTTTTAAAATTGCCATCAGCGTTTCCTAAACATTATGTTCTGGTGCTGAGTTAATCTAAAAGCCATCTCTCTGTCTCCTGCCTAACACACATACACACTCACACACCACAGTGTCTTCTAAGAAACCAAGTTAAAAATGAGCATACATTACACGTCTCATTCCCTGTACATCTCAAATTCCACCCTGTGATGCCTGGATTGACAGCTGGCTCTTTAGCAATGGTCCCTCCAAGGACAATTCCCCCTGGGTTTCCATGGGAAAGGGGTCAGGGGTGTAGAAGGGACGATTTGGGATTTCATGAAATAACGGAAGCATGAGCCCAACTGTGGGTGTGTTCAGGAAGGGAAGAAACCGGGCAACAGCCACAAGAGAACCCAGTGAATCCATAGGGGGAAACAGGTGCCTAGGCCCCAATTACCTGTACATCCCCGGGAAAATAGAGGACGTGATGCTGGGGCGGCGGTTGCGGTTCCTCCTTTGCCGGGTCCCTAGGGAGGTCCTGCCGTTCTGATCCCTCTCTCACTGCCGCCAGCAGGAGCACCTCGTTAGTGCGCTGCGGGTCGGCTCCTGGCACAGTGGACAACTGCAGGCACTGCTGGCGGCGTCCCTCGACCGCGGAGGAGCATCGTGCACCACTGCTGCCGCCCGGGTTCATGGTTCTGGCCTGCAGGCAGGACAAGGCGTCTCCGATTCCGAGCTGCGGCAGCAGGAGGAGCAGCGGCGGGGACCGCAGGAACCTGAACCCCCACATGGGTCGCCGCCACTAGAGCGGTTCCGAGGTGGGGGTGATCTGGGGGCGGGACTTCGGCAAGCAGCCCAACGGCCAGCGGGAGTGGCCGAGGAGGTAGCCGGCGCCGGACGACAATGACGTCAGGGGCTGATATCAGCGCGCAGCGTGCGTAAGGAAAGGAGGGGTGTGCGCGAACCTGAGCTCGAGTTCTGGAGGGGGGTGATGGCAGGGCGGGGCCGGAGGGGGAACGTTTGTGATTGGTGAAGTGAGTCGCAACCGGGAAGTTCGAATGGAAGACTGGGAAAGAGCCGGAGAAGAGTGAAGGCGCGAGAAAAGAACCAAGCGCCCTAAGCCAGAGTGGGCGGCAGTTATGGCGCCTGCGCAACAGCTGGGTGGGCCTTTTAATCCGGTAGTACGTAAAGTTTTGAGTACAGCGTGCTTCGCGTTTCAATAGGTTCACTATTCAGGTGAGATTTATCTAGTCGTTCGAACCTTAAGAGGAAAGCAGCCCAAAGGCATAAGTAGAGTAATTCAGCCGCGAGAAGAGAAAAAAGTGAAAGTCTTTTTCGTGGCCTGCATGAAGGGAATCTCTTATCTCGTACCTTGAGTTTCCATTAGTTAGATGTACAAAAATTTCAAGTTTCATGGGGAATTTGTGGTTAGAGAAGTCTAGCGCATCGCTGGTTGGTATCAGGGTGCAGGGCACGTGGCCAAGAACGGGAAAGAGCAGACAAGGCATTACTTTTTGGCACATTTCTTGTGGGTGATGTTTGCAGCTAATGGAATTTGATATTTTAGTATTTAAAAAAACACACACACACACAATTTGAACAGTGTAGGAAAAATGTGGGTGACCAGTTATCTTATGGCCAGTTGTGCAGGAATAGAATTTAGCAAAATTTGTTAGGCAGGGAAGGAAGACGTGGGCGGATCCAGTATTCTAACTTGCTTGTGAGGCAAGGCACTGTAAAGAAGTCTCTGAGAGAATTAGTGAAAATTATGAAAATTAGAGCCAACATTTACTGAGGGTTTACTATAGTCAAAGAATCTAAGCATTTTGTATATAACTGAGTCAACATATGTGTATACTTAAGCACGCATAACTGTTTTCTGTGTTCCATTTATAAAACGAATATTAAATAGCTTGAAGTAGGGACACAGTGAACAAATAATAAAACCTAACTTCTTTATATAGTTACTTCGTGGTTGCATAGAGGTGTAATATGCCTGTCTACTCCTATCTAAATTATTGAAGTCCACCTGACACCATAACAATATAATAAATAAATTATTCAATTACTAAATCTGCTTTCTAAAAATAATTGGTTAAAAAGAAGTAGCAGTTAATTGTACAATTAGTATATAACCACATTAAGGCAACCAGCCTTCATTCTTGTTTTGAAAATTGCATGCAAATTACTTCCCTCTCATTAAGGAGAGAATCTCTAAAATATAATCTGAAAGTCCAAACATGACCATGCATTGCTAATGCAACTTTTCTCTTGATTTTGAGGTCTTATTTTTCCATTGAACTTTTTAATAAAATCTCTCCTTATTGAAGGGGAGGGGAACTCTTGTGTTTGTAAAGAAAATTAATTGCAATAAATATTAAATACTAAAAAGTTTTCTCAGTATATGTAAGACAATTGAGGCCATTGAGAAACAAGTAAAAATTTAAAAAGCAGAGTAAAGAAACAGAGGGGCTGGGATTGTGGCTGAGTGGTAGAACGCTCATCTAGCACGTGCAAGACCCTCAGCACCACATAAAAATAAATAAATAAAATAAAGGTATTATGTCCAACTACTTCTAAAGAAATAAATGTTTTTCTTTTTACAAAAGAAATAGATTGAAATAAAACAAGGTTTTTCCCACAAAGATTTATACAGTCCTACAGGAGATACTTCTCAGAGAAACTAACACCTGTCTCAATCATTTTGAGGTATATATGTTATTTATGGTAAGTCATTGACACTCAGTTCCTTTTTATAGGTCTCCTTGATATTACTATATTTTTTACTTTCTCTCTCCCTCCTCTCTGTCTTCCAAGAGACCAATTTTTGTTGATCTCTACTTTTCTAACAACCCTGAGCACAGATGGACCATCACTTTCCCACTTTTATTGTCTCTCAAAGCTAGGCTTTTCAAAGCCGCAAGAGGTCTTAACATGTACAAAGTTACTATAACCAGTTTGTGAATTTTCCCCTTTTTTCTAGCTGGTAGGGATATAGGAATGTTGTTAGTTATAGTGCCCAAAAGGCTACAGCTCATCTCTGTCCTCTTGTCATTTCTCAAAGGATCCTATAGAGCTCTAAGAACTTTTATTTTGCCTTTTAATATAAAAGAGGAAAAAAAATTGCAAAAATTTGGAAGGAAGCTGAAAAAGACTAATATACATTGGAAAGGACACCTATTAAAAGCACAAAATTCCATATTTACAGAAGTCAGGTCTATATTATAAAAGGTAAAAATAGCCATGTGTAGTATAGAGCCAATGGGCAATAGTAGAAGGCAAAAAATCCAGTATTTACAGAATTCAGGTTTTTACCACAAATAGTAAAAATAGCCATATGTAGTACAATAGAAATTTATACAAATTGACAAAGTGATATGTCATATTTGAAAAAGTCACTATTCACTAATACCATTTGTGAAATGAAGGCAGCACTTTCCAACCCTTTAAATTTTTTTCAAGAGAAATCAGATACAGAGATTTTTATGTGTCATTTGCCAACTTATAAATGTAGACAACTAATTAAATTTGTTTATTAAATGTATCCAATTAAATGTATGCATAGGTAAGATTTGTCCTACAGGGTACAAATGTACAAGTTCTCTTCTAAAAGATAAAATGAATGGATACAGGAAAGCAGAGAATTGGGGGTGGGGGAGACAAGACAAAAGTCCTTATATGTGGTTTCCTATAAAAAATTACTAGGGAAGAAAATGAAAGAAAAAAGGATTTCAAATTCTTTTATGGTGTTTGACTTGGATCCCATTTGATTTTCTTGTGGACATTCCACCAAGTATTTTAATTCTTTTCAATTCTTGGTTTTAAACAGGTATTTGGGACTCATTGTGTGTGTGTGTGTGTGTGTTTTAATAACCCTCTGTGCTAAAACTAGACCTTGAGAGTAACAGGCTTCAAATGAGGTATATGACTCTAATATATAATTTTGCCCCAAAATGCTTAATTAAAAAAATTAGACAATAAATAAAGCCATTTGGCAATTTAAAGTCTTAATTTGAGAGACTAGTTTCACTGAGATCTTTCTGCCATTCTATCAAGGCCTTATAGATTATCTTTAACATTCAGTGAATCCTCAGATGCAATGATTAGCTAACAATACTTGCATACACTGTACTTTACTTACTGTTAAAGCGTAAGAGAAATATAATTAATTAAAGATGCAATCCTTAACAAAATACTAGGCTAGCCTAATCCAGCAACATATAAAAATAATTACTCTCACAAAGTGAGATTTATCCCAAGAATGCAAGGTTGATTTTACACCTGAAAATCAAATAACATTATTGTTATGGTTTGGATGTAAGGTGTCCCCTGAAAGCTCACATGTGACACAATGCAAGAACATGTGGAGGAGAAATGATTGGGTTATAGCCTTAGCATCTAATCAGTGAGTTAATCCCTGATGGGATTAACTGAAGTGGGAGGGTGTGGCTGGAGGGGGTGGAAATTGGGGCGTGGCTTTGGGTATATATTTGTATCTGGAGAGTAGAGGTTTTCTCTCTGCTTCCTGGTCACCATGATGTGAGCTGCTTCTCTCTGCCACACTGTCCTGTCATGATGTTCATCTCACCTGAACCCTGAGAAATGGAGCCAGCCTTCTATGGACTAAGACCTCCAAAACGGTGAGCCCTTAATAAACTTTTCCTCCTCTATAGTTTTCTGGTCATATCTTTTAGTCACAGCAGCGAACAAGCTTACTAAGACAATTGTATACTATATTAATAGCATAAAAGCTAAAAGTGACATAAATCATCTTAATAGACACAGGAGAAGCATTTGACAAAATGCAGCACCTTTATATGTAAAAAGAAAAAAAAAAACTAGGAATAAAAGGGAACTTCCTTAAGTTAGGTATGGTGACATATAACTGTAATTCCAGCTACTGTGGAGGTTGAGGCAGGAGGATCACAGTTTGAGACCAGCCCAGGCAATTTAATTAGACCTTGTTTCAAAATTAAAAAACAATAAAAGGGTTGGGGTATAGTTCAGTAATAAAACTCTTGCCTAGCAACCTGGGTTTAATCTCAAGTACTGGGGGCGGGGAAGGGGGGAGGGTTCTTCAACCTAATAAATGGTACTATGAAAAACTCACAACTAACATTATGTTTAACAATTGAAAGACTGAATGTATCCCTAAGAACAAGAACAAGGTAAAGATGTCTACTCTTGCTATTTCTAATTGGCATTGTAATCGAAGTTCTAGCCAGAGAAATTAGGAAAGAAAAACAAATAAAAAACATTCAGAAAAAAGTAAAACCATGCAAATAACATGATATTTAGAATATCCTAAGGAATCCACTAAAAAGACTTTCATAAAATTGAGTTCTGCAAGGTTGCAGGATACAAATCAATTTATAACAATTGTATTTCTACACACTTGCAATGAGTAATCCAAAAATAAATTAAGGAAATTTCATTTATAATAGCATAAAATACTTAGAAATAATTTAAGGAAAGAATTACAGAACTTAAATACTGAAAGTTACAAAACATTTTTCTGAGAAATTAAAGAAAACCTAAATAAATGGAAAGACATCCTATGTTCATGGATTGGAAGACCTAATGTTTTTATGATGCATTTCTCTCCAAATTGATCTGCAGATTGAAAACAATTCATATGAAAATTTCAGCTGCTGTGTTTTACAAAAATATTCAAGCTGATCCTAAGATGCATATGAAAACACAAGGGGCCCAGAATACAAAACAATCTTGAAAAAGATGATAACAGTTGGAGAATTCATACATCACCATTTCAGAATTAACTACAAGCTGTAGTAATCAAGACAGTGTATACTGGCATTAGATAAACATGTACAAGAGTGGAATGGAGTTGAGAGTCTAGAAATAAACCTTAAATTTATGGGCACTTGA